ATCTATTTGTTTACAGTACGCTACATATACATAAAGTTCTAAATGGTACATTTAAAATATCAATTAAAATAAAATAAAAAAGAAATTAATAAAATTGTCATAGTATAAAATTGAAGTCAATATAGTATAATGAAAGTCGACGGTTAAAAAAAACCTACTAAAATGTCATAATTTGAAAAATACTTATTGTAATTGGACATCAGTCGGTCTACAAATAAATTCTGTCCACAGTTAGTTCTATGAGTATTTACATAAAATAGTTTAATCTGCCTAGTAAGTCTGGCAGGAACAAGGAATCTAATAAAATGAGGAATAAACGATAGGCCCCTGTCAAAAATATCACCAAGATTATTTATAGTTCAGAACCTGCAGTGACATAATCATGCATAATGATATTAGCTGTTTTATTAAGCCTTGATAACTTTACATTTATCAATATTCAGTTTAATCAAGTTATATCGTATTAAAACTATGATTAGTACCAGTTGTAGGCAAATATATTTTTTTAGCATCGTACAACTGCCATCTTAATAAAAATCTAGTGACCTTTGAAATATACCTTATATAAATACACTTTTTTTATTACTTTTGTACAATCGTTCACCATTTTAGCTACTAGTGAACCTTTGCAATACAGGTACCTTATTATACTCTTTCGTGCAAGCGTTCAATGTTTTTGATTCTAGTGAACTTTTGAGATATTCCTTATATACCATTTATACCTACTTTTGTCCAATTTGTCAGTGTTTTATAGCTACCTTATGGTATCACACATCTGTAATTGCATTACCTGTATTATTACCTACCTCTACTTGTATGATATTAGTACTTGATTTCAATAGCTTTTTAATAATAAATTTATACAATTTTTTTATTTTGTTTTCTTCAGATTTTACTATATCCTTAATATACTATTTTAAATATAGTGTATCCAAGGATGGACATAACTATACTTGTAAAGATATTTATTTTAAATTTTTCAAAAGAAGTATTTTTCATAATTTCTCAACGTTAATCGTATTTATTTAACAAGCAAAAGAAATTATGAAGAAGTACTTTAAAATTTAAAATAAATATTTTTAGTCCATCCGTGGACACACTGTATAATGCTGTAGAAGGAATTCACATTATAACATCTATAGAAAGTTTCAGAGCAACTTTCGGGGTAAGTACCGTAAAAGTGCTAGTGTGATGTTTTCCGAACTTCATTTTATAACTTTTACGAGATGTGCTATAACAGTCTTGCCGTTGCGGACATTCGGTAGTTGCAGGGATAATAGGGTTACATTTACAGTACATTGCATGCGAGCTTAAAGAGCCTAAAATTGCAGCTTATTAACGTAGATGGGATATTTTTGTGCTAGCTGGGATACCTCTGCTGATCACTGCTTTTTTGTAAATTTGCTGAACAAGAAACTGATCACAAAAATGGGCCATGTTCACATGTGAGATATTGTTAAGAGTGAGATTATAGGCCTTTTGACTGACCCTTAAGTCCACTCTTAGCGGTAACCATGGGTTATATAGAGGGGCCCAATTTGTATTTAAATTGCCTCTAGACAACACACGGCTAGGGGGTTAAGTTCAGAAGGAACCCTAACTTCCTGACGATGATTCAGAGGACAGGGGAAGGGTTTGCCCTACAGGAACTATTCCCTTTGGCAGTTTTCTCTCTCTCTCTCTCTCTCTCTCTCAGAGATTGGATTAAGCCAATACCCCCACCGTTGAATGATCGTAAGTTTTCATAAACCAAAGAAAATTGAAACAAGCGTTAAACAAATAACTGTGATTTATTTAACAAATAAAAACAACTAATATTGTTTCTGCAATCACATAGTCTTTACTGACTACACAAAAACTAAATATAACTACTTAAAATTATTTACTTACGTAAGCATTATGTTCTATCTGTTAGGCTGCAAGGCTCGCTGGTTGCACAGTAAACGGAATAATTACACATGAACATAAAGTATTTTGCACTGTTTCTCCCACATTTGAAGTAAATAATGCTGAGGTAGATAACAAGTTGAATTTGATAATGAATTTTTAGAGAAACGTTTAATTTGTTCAACTACATTATTGTTAGGGCTTGTATATATTTTTTATTATTTGTAAATAAAGTGTTTGTTACTTCGTTTATCTTATTCAGGTACATTTATTGTTTAATAATAGGTTAATAAATAAAATTTTCATAGATTTTACATTTTTGTTCGTATACATTTATTATAATCCCTGAAATAATGTGATAAATTCATTAAAAAAAAAACAGTTTATTAAATTATTAAGTATTTGGTCTTACAAAATGAATTCTTTTAATTTACACAGAAATGTAAAAGGTTTATGTAAGCTATACTTTCCTTCTCATAAATATGATTGAGGATTTTAGAAACACTCTTGGGCAATCCTAAATATACCTTCAGTTTATTTTCATTTATTTTGAGAGTTCAATGGTCTTGAATAACCTGCTCATTATTATTAAAATTAAAACTTTCAGGAGGTTCCGAAGGAGGGTTTTAGGTTATACACCTTCGAACTTATAGTAGGCCCATTTTAAATTTCCTGAAGGGGACAATGTCACAAATTACTACTGCATCTTGAAGATCCGGTGTATTTTTATTAAATAGAGATAAAAACGCCTCTAGTAGATTATTTTCCAGTCAACTTTTTAGAAACATTTTTTCTGTTTCTGGTAGAATCAGTGAGGTGTGGTGAATAACAAGAACTTTGCAGACATTTGTGTGGTACTACCCATTTATATGTAAAGGTTTGTCCATCATTTAAAAAATGAACAGTTTTCAAAATCATCGGGTATCTAAAAAAAAAGAAAAAACATCGTTACTACAATGGTAGATAATTGAAGTCTAATAAATTACAATAAAACGTTTTCATTTTAATAAAGAGTATAGATACTATACAAACCTTAAAATAATTTAGCTGTTGCTTGAAGCTTTTCTGTGTAATAATAATAATAATAACTTCCTTCTTTTCATATTTTTGGCAACACTAATAAATATATTTAATAATAAATGTAAATCATTATCACATCTTGGGAGGAAACATTTTTTCATACTCCTCATATTATTTTATAAAAACGAAAATTAAATAATTATCTATTGATATTATTGATACAAAATTACAAGATTTCAGGTTAAAAATCGATTCTCGGCACCTAAAGATGAAGCGAGTGACACTGACATTTAAGATCGATATATATCCCTTCTCGGTATCCGAGATAGGAATCGCAAAATCTTTCTCGTTACGACACGTCTCGAGTACGAAACATGAGAATCCCACTGCGAAACTTATGTGAAATGAAAACTGACAGTTACTTGTTAAAGTGACAGTTGTTGTTGAACAAAACTAATGTTGATTAGTTTTATGAAGTTGTAAAAATGCCCCACAAATTTAGTCATAAAGAATATGCCGATATGATATTTGTTTATGGGTTCTGTAATGGTAGTAATGTTCGTGCAGTGGAGGAGTTTCGACGTCGTTTTCCGAATCGAAGAGTTCCTAACAAGCGAGTATTTTAAACTGTTTTTACACATGCCGGCGAAACTGGGACATTTCCAATTGCATTCTGAAAGAGAACACGGAATCGCTGTTGGACTTGAAGAAGATATTCTGGATGTGGTAGACGAAAATCCAGAGATAAGTACAAGGCGCATCGCAATCCAATTTGAAATACCACTAACAATGGCTTGGAAAACACTTAAGCAACAAGGTTTGAACGCTTATCATTTGCAAAAAGTACAAAATCTACACGAAGGCGATTATCCTTTAAGGCTACAATTTTGTCATTGGATTCGGGAAAACAAAAGATTGCGTAAAGACATTTTGTGGTCGGATGAAGCTCAATTTACGCGAGACAATTGCCACAAGATAAAACACAATTTCCAAAATCGATTTAGCATTAACGTTTGGTGCGGTATTCTAAATGATCAATTATTCGGTCCTTTCGTATTAGATGCGCGCCTTACTGGACAAGGATATTTACGTTTTTTAGAAGACCATTTAGAAGAAATATTGGATGAAGCAGCTTTAAATATTCGAAAACGAATTATCTTCCAACATGATGGAGCGCCTCCTCACTATTCAAATAATGTACGAAATTTTCTGAATACCACTTTCGGCGATCGTTGGATTGGCAGAGGCGGTCCGCATCCTCGGCCACCGAGATCACCGGATCTCACTCCCATCGATTTTTGCCTTTGGGGATGGATGAAGTCGTTAGTTTATGCTACTAAAGTGGAAACGAGGGAAGCGTTACTAGATCGCATTCTTAATGAAGCAGCTATCATTAGAGCGAACAATCGTTCATTGAAACTCGCTACTAGTGCAGTTTATAAACGCGCAAATAAGCGAATCGAAGTGGGCGGTGGTGTTTTCGAAAATTTGTTGTAAATTAATGTTATTTGTTTATTTTTGTAATGTATTGATGAGCTTATTTTGCTTATTTTGGCTTCCTCGACATGTCTTTAAAATATTGCCACTTCCTCCCGAAACACCCTGTATATATTAATATTTAAAAATTATGTACTACAACAATTCAATCAAAGTGGATAAATAAATCACCGGTTGTGACCGAACATAAATTAATAGAACTGCTTTTTAAAGAGTATGGAAATGTTCTTTTAAAAATAAGGTATTTTTATATTTATTTTTCGTTGATTTTAATTGGACACTTCGCAACACCGCACTAATTTGTATTGACAAAGCATGACAGATATAATTCTAAATTCTAATGAAAAAGTTACACAAATGATCACTTACTGATCCTCATAAGCCTTTATCTGTAAAATTAAAAACAAAAAACATTAATTTATGGGATTTCCGGTGAATTATTTGAAAAATACTCTCCTTCCTAAAGTCTAAAATGTAAGTTTTGTAAAAATAATTGTATTTTTAAGAAAAAGGCGTCTTCGCAATATTTACCCACAAATAATATCAAAGTTATGATAGCAGAAGAAGACTTAATAATATACTGATAATATTTTTAGGTACTGATTTTGGTGACGGCTGTTCTAAACTATATTTTCGTGACAACAGACTTATCATTCTCTCAAGAAAATTACGAAAATTTCCTACATTTCTACATATTCTTCGACATCCTCTACCTCCTCAACTTGCTCATACTAGTTCTTCACAAAACGTTCGCTTGGACCACGCCAACTTTACTTCCGAAAATAGACAATTCTCTAATAACGATTGTTATCGATTTTTTGTCTTTAGTGCCTCAAATTCTTCTGCTCGTACCTCTCGCTGATCGTTCTTTCAGTTTTTTCATACCTTTGCTGAGAGTGTCGAGTATGTTAAGGCTGCGTCACTTGAATTTCTTTTGGAAAATTCTCAGAAGATTACCGGACAACAGGTGGAAATGGTTTGCTGCTCAGTATGCGACTATGTTTTGTCTTTGTGTGCATACAATTAATTGTATATGGCGTTTAATAGAAAACGACGAAGACTGTAAGGTAAATATTGACATTTTATACATAACAAAAAATGTGTAAATTAAAGTTGGTAATGTGTCACATGTGATCCTATTTTTCATATGCCTCTTCTTAATAGTTTTAACTTTTACGTCTTGGCTTTGCACATTTTTTGTCCTTGCTTTTGCTACCTTCTTGTTACGATCCATTTGAATAGCTTTAGACAAATCTAAATCTGCTCTAACATTCTTTTCTGGACTTATTTATCTCTTACTCCTAATACCATTCTCTTACCATGCTGTCCATCAAATTAACACCCTTTAAGTAATATTTTAAGATGCAATGAAAACAACCCCCACAGCTGCAATGGAAGCACTAATAGGACTCCCACCTCTTCACTATGTGATACAAGGGGAGGCAAGATTAGGTACTTACAGATTAGGGAATACACTGGGAAATCTTGACATTAGGCCAGGTCACATGAGTATCTCAAGGTTAGTGACAGGAGACGTGTTAGACATGACTTCAGATCACATAACCAAGATGTACTCTTTTAATACTCCATTTGAGGTTTTAATACAGGAAGGAGCAGAGATCACCATAAGGGAGCCCAATGCCCAACGACAGGAACAAATCTGGTATACAGACGGGTCTAAGACTGCGGAAGGCACTGGGGCGAGAGTATTCTCCAAAAACCCTGGTACTAACCATAGCTATGCTATAGGAATACATTCCTCGGTATTTCAGGCCGAGGTATACGCAATTTTGCAATGTGCAAAAACGAACAATGAAAGAGCTGTCGAAAATCAGCATATACAAATAATGTCAGACAGCCAAGCGGCACTTAAGGCCATATTTAGTCAGAAAGTTACGTCAAGGTTGGTATGAGAATGCATCGAAGAACTAAGAACACTGGCAGACCGAAATAGAGTAAAACTATTTTGGGTGCCAGGTCACCAAGGGATCGAAGCCAACGAAAAGGCTGACGAACTTGCAAAAAGAGGGTCAGAAGAAATATCGGAACCAGACACAAACCCAGGAGTATCACAAAGTACAGTCCGGGGTTTCATAAACGACTGAATTCCGAAACAACATATTAACTATTGGGGAAGCACCCCAAAACAGGCACATAAGTAGACCATGTCCCAAAAGAACTGGAGAACTACTCTTTATAAATAGGAACCAGTTGAAAGTGATAACAGGGTTCATGACTGGGTACGCCCCAGTAAAGGGACACTTGAATAAAATTATGAACTCATGTGCCGACTATGTCACAAGAAACCAGAAACGGCCAAACATATACTGTGCGAATGCAAAGCTCTAGATCGCAAAAGACAGGCTCTTTTTGAACAACCCCAGGTTGATCCAACCCACTCACCCAAGGATCTGTAGAAACTTGTACAAGGTACCAAAGGTGACAGAGTGAGTGTTATGAACTAACATGGGGTAAAACACAATAAGCCAATAGGCTTCAGTGTTATTCGGAGACAGTCATATTTTAAGATCAGTCACAAAATTGTCGAAGGTTTCACCCTCCTCTTTACGATTATAGAAGAGGTACTTCTGATAAACAATATTCTTCTGTAGTGGAAAGTATTGTTTAAATTCCTCAAGAACGGTTTTATATTCTCCTTTTTGTGCCACCGTGAGTTTTAAAGTGTCAAGTACCTAAACACGATCTTCGCCTATTGAGTTTAAAATTGTTGCTACTTTAATTTTAGGCAATTTTTCGTCATTTTCAGTAGCTAGATATAGGCAATGTATTTCTAATGGGAGACCGGCACACTAGCTTGCCGTCTTTCCGATAACTGTGACAGGTTCGGCCCAGTAGTGTCAATTAGAGCATGTATTCTATGTCGCTTAATATTGCATTAAGAACCGTAACCTTTACTACAAACAAGATCCAGGCCACATTTTGTTTTGTTAACCAATGAACCAACTGACTTGGTTAGCAAGTAACCTGCCTGCAGAAGCAAGCGGCTTGGTTGCTTTCTGCATAATAGAGAAGAGAGTTGGTGACATTTCGTTATTTGGTTCTCTGTGAGAGTGAATGTGAAGTATTAAAAATAGGAAAACGAATATTTTTGTGATACAATATGAATAATAATATTAGCATATCTCAAAGAATTCTTCTGATGACCAAAGATATTGGATAGGATAGGGTCGTCCGGCATTATTTAAGGACCTGCTAATACCACTGTGGATTGTAAGAAAAAAAGTATAAAATCCAAAGATAGAGGACAAAAAAATCTGTGATGCACTTAATTTCGAACGATTGCATGCAATTTTATGAACATATAACCGGCACGGACATCGACGAAAATGTGGATGGATTTAGCGGAGCTCCTGATTTTAAACTGAAACCTATGATGATAGAATAAATTAAAAAGACAATACCTATGTATTTTTTACCTACTTCCTTTAACAATAAAGTATATTTAACTAAACAGAGCTTAAATATATTTTACGGAAAGGAGCCGACCCACAAAAAACAAAAAAACCAAGTGATATGTCTTCTCTTTTAATTTGGAAGGCTAGCACCACATTAGGCAGACGTTCAACCGCCAATCTTCAGAAGCAGAACGTCTTCTGCAGACACATCATATAATCTCTTACGACCAATTCGTTAATTCCCTACATTAAGCTAAAGATCAATTGAAACGCCTAGCATTTGAATTTAATACCCAACAATATGCGGCTCATTTTCAGCTGGTAAACTTCTGCCCAAAGTGGCGCTAGCCTAAGAATTAATATTGTATTCGCATATTTGGGCGATTTTAAATCAGTTACTTAATGTGAACAAGTCAAGGTGTGGTCAAGGTTCTTACATCATTATAATGACGTTCTATTAATGTAATTTAAAAATGTTTGGTTTATATTGACACTAACTTGAAAATGCGCATGACATTGTTTGTGTATTATGTATTGTAGTTAAGATTTGGTTTCGAATTTGTAAGGATAAAAAATAAATATGTTTTTTGTACTGATCATGGATGAAGAGAAAATTGGTGTTGTAGCTGCTTTGGCCTCTAAAATTTTATCAAAACTTTTCCCATGATCATCATTAAATCTTGGCTATCCTGAAAATAAATTGGCTTTTCATTTACAAAAACCTTAAAAGCATCCATATCAAGGTACTCAGCAAGAGCTGCTAGAAATCCCGCTTTAGGCGTAATTGTCCCGCTTTTGGCAAGCGTTGCGCCAAAGTAGATCTACAGAAACTGCCCTGGTACAGCTGACTGACGTAATCCAGGATGTACTAACAAACAAAGAAACGGTCGTGTGTGCTTTCCTAGACAAAGAAGGAGCTTTTGACAACACGCCACACGAATCTGCCAAAAGAGCATTTGCATACAGAGGAGTAGATAATATCACATCCAGATGGATGGCTCAGCTGCTATCTACGAGAACTCCAGAGACACAGATAGGGCAGGACACCATCTCCATATGCACAACCAGAGGAGTTATATCTTCATTAATGTGGAGCCTAACCATAGACGAACTTCTATGCAGATTGACTGACCTCGGCATACCCTGTCAAGGTTATGCCGACGACATAGTCATATTTGCTAGAGGCAACAATCTCAAAACCGTTAAATTAGACGGGATAAATATAGAATGGAAAAATGAAGTCAAATATCTAGTCCTAACCCTGGACAACAAACTTCTCTGGAACACACATGAGAAGAAAGTAGTAAATAAGGCTACAAAAGCCCTAATGGTATGCAGAAATATTGCGAGTAAACGATGGGATGTAACCCGAACACACTGCTATGGATGTATAGTGCAATAGTGAGACCAATCATCACTTACGGGGCTATAGCCTGGAGTAACAGAACTAGTTTAGCTACTACGAGAGCTAATATCTCAAAAGTACAAAGACTAGCCTGTGTTTGCATCACCGGTGCAATGAGAACCTGCCTTACGGTCGCAATGGAGGTGATCTTAAACCTCACCCCTCTACATTTAATGATAGAGAATGTGGCAAAAAGGACACGATATAGAATGATTAGGAACGGAGTAATTAGACGAAAGTCTACTTGTTTCAGGACCAAAGATACCTGGGATATGCCCCAGGATGAAATGATAAAGAAGTACAGTTTTGTGAAAAACTTCAAAATCACAGAACTGGGCTGCAAGAAAAAATGGAGTCAAGAATCCAACGAGCTTGCAACCGAAAGACATGCTATTCAGTGGTATACGGATGGTTCCAAAACCATAGAAGGAACTGGAATAGGAGTGTATGGGCCGAGAACCAAGCACTCCGAAAGCTTGGGAAAATACCCAAGCATATTACAGGTGGAAATTCACGCCATCGAGAAGTGTATCCAATTTAACATGGACAGGAACTGTCGTAGCCAAGCAGCCATCAAAGCGCTGAGCTCTTACGTAATCAGCTCAAAAATGGCCTGGAGATGCCTAGAACAATTGAATGAGCTAGGTGAGAAAAATAGAGTTACTCTCACTTGGATCCCGGAACATAACGGGGTACAAGGTAACGAGATTGCAGATAGTCTCGCAAGGAAAGGGGATCAAACACCCTTTGTGGGACCTAAGCCATTCTGCGGTATCAGCGGTAACATAATATTAGGAGAGATTAAAAAAGAATTGGGCAGTAGAAGAACGATAATTGGAACAATCTCTTGGAGCTGAGACAGGCTAAGATACTTCTGGGTGAATATAACCAGAAAAGAATTGGAAGCCTGCATCTGCCTGAGCAAGAACAGGCTACGTATTGTAACAGGGATCCTTACTGGGCATTGCCGACTAAAAGGACACCTTATTAAACTGAGAGTAGCAGAAGACAGTGAGTGCAGATTCTGTGAACCTACATTCATATTCTAACTGAAAGTGTAGCACTCCAGAATCCAAGGGCACTATACCTAGGAGCCTATCAAATAGAAGAGAGAGATGTACCTAACTTCAAGCCACTCCAAATCTACACTTCCTTGAGAAGATAGGATTGGAAGGATCGTTATAGGCATTGAGACATTTCCTTACTGCATTAGTGACAGAAGGGAGCACAATAGATCTTTTAGGTCGCAATGTATTAACACCCCATTCCCAACATAACATAACATAACATAACATACGCCAAAGTACGAAAATGCCCCGCTTTTCACCTAAATGCTATACTGTAGCCATGATAAACTTGACCATTTCAAGACAGTATTCAATTTGACGTCATTTTTATTTATTTATATCAGTGTAGTCATTAATATTAAATACATAGTTCTGATTTAAAATCGCCTTTTCAAATGCGGACAAATGCTCCATGCGAGTGCGAAAATTGTGATTTTTAATATGGTTTGTTAAATAGTCAATGACGATAAATTGAGTGTAACTGCAGCTGTAAGTCGTGCTTTCAAAATTCGAGAGAATAAGAATTCACCATCGTTCTTTTTAAGAATCCGATGTAGATTGATGGTAGTATTGGTTTTGAATATACAGGGTAGCTGTTAAAGATGGAACCAAACCTATAGTGCTTAAACGGTTCAACATACATAACCCAAAATTTCAGAATTTTAACTAAATATATTTGTGCATATTTTAGCCCAAAAATTATTTTTTTTATAATTACACAATTTTAAACATGGCCGCCATCTTGATTTTTTAAATAGCAACATAGGTCATGTGATATACCATTTGAAAGGTTTTAACACCCTGATTACAAAAATGTATCACACATGGGGTCTAAACACAACAAAAAGGATATTATTAATAGGGAGCGTAGGAGAGGCTGTGCATTTGACACAAGACGTCAAATACATACATTTTTGTAATCAGGGTATTAAACCCTTTTAAATGGTATATCACATGACCTATGTTGCTATTTAAAAAAATCAAGTTGGCGGCCATGCTTAAAATTTTGTAATTATAAAAAAAATAATTTTTGGGCTAAAATATGCGCAAATATATTTAGTTGAAATTCTGAAATTTTGGGTTTTGTATGTTGAACCGTTTAAGCACTATAGGTTTGGTTCCATCTTTAACAGCTACCCTGTATAAAGCGTGGTCATAAAAGTATAATGTTAGAACGAAACGATATCATGTATTAGCGGCACAGGTACTTAACAGCCATCAAGCAATATCGCCAAAAAAATTGTAACGTTATCTATTTAGATGAGACCTGGACCAACGTGGGTCAAACGGTTAACTATGCATGATGTGATAACACCATACAAATTATAGAGATGCTTTTCAAAAGGGTTTAACAACAGGCCCCTGAAAGCACCTACATAAAGAGGTCAACGTTTCGTTATTATTCATGCAGTGTATATTAAGGTAAATATTTTCCTGGCGCCGTGCGTGTGTTCTTAACAGCAAAAAAAACGATCGCAATTATCATGACGAAATGAACGCCGACTATTTTGAGCAATGGTTTGAGTAGTGCTGATTCCCAACTTGGACGAAAGAAAGTTGTTATGGATAACGCTTCGCATCATTCTCGTAATATTAGTTTTCCAGCTACCTCATAAAACAAACCCGAAATAAAAAAAAAACATTTTCTTTGACGACTCCTATTTAAGATATGAGCTGCTTGAAGTTGCCAATACATACAGGGAGCAATACGATAAATATAAGATTGAGAAAATAGTTGCAAAATACGGGGTAACTGTATTATTGCGAGCTTAACCCGATCTAGATGGTATGTAATCTGGTAAAGCGCTATAATGCCATGAACAACATTGATTTCAAGACACAGGATGTTCGTTTATTGATAGATGAAGCATTTTAAGATGTCTCATGGCTGGCAACGGCGCGCTTCGTAAGTCTTCATACTGCATTCTCAGTGTGTCTCGCACCCATATATATTTCCAGAATTTTTTTAAGATTTCAATCAAATTTCCCTCAAAGGACATGGGCTGGGGTAGTCTTAATTTAATTTTTTTCTTTCTTTAACTTTTTAATACCTTCCAATATTCACAAAGACAATTACCAGATTTGGAACATATTTAGAACCTCATTTTATATTGGGTACAATGAATATGGATTACAAGTATCTAATTGACATAACCATGAAAATTAAATTTTATGCACCAAGTGAGAAGTTATTTAGCTTTTTATTTTTGTTTTATTTTTGTGTCTTTATATTTCTTTTGTATATCTGTAATTATCGGAACTCTACCTAACTTTTCTTTTGTTTTATTTCTTCTATTTGCTCTTCTTTTTTTAAGGGTTTTTGTTTTTTCAAGTTTTTTTAATTACCCAAACTATAATATACTTCTCTGATTTAAGAATAGTAGAGGCTAATAATAAGTACTATCTTAGGACCAATATTGTTAATTAGAAACCAATAATAAAATGATCAACCTGAAATTTAAATAAGAGAGCAACTGTTAATTTTTTCTTATATTTTAGCTCTATGAATCGACCCCAATACCAATAAATAATTCCACAGATTGGTACCTCTACCATGTTTACTATACTATCCAAATATTTCTGAATATTGGTTTCGGAGACAGTTTTCCAAAAAATTTTAATGAGTTATATTTAATCTCAGCTATGTTATTGATGGGGCAAGCTATGACAGTATGGTTGGTTTGTCACATAACATGCTTTTTGATTCATCGAGATTATCACAAACTTTATATATCAAATAAGGTAAATATAGAATTATATTTAACTGGATATGACTCAAGATGTGAATGTTTCTGAACCTTCTGTAGTTTTACTTTCATTTTCTGGGCGCTAAAGCTTATTTCGTAGCTTCTATAAAGGAGGGTACAGACCAAGTTCGCGAGCTGTTCTAGAATAGTCGGCGAACATTTTCCGAGCTTAGTGCATACGCGTGTTCGCGAACAGTTCTAGAGCAGCTCGGCAGTTCGTTCAGGGTTCCGAGTCGAGTCGGTTACTTCAAAGGGTTTGTTTGCGAACACGTGGCGAGCTTAGTATGTCTGTGGACGTTTACTGTTCGGAATTATAGTTTATTATTTGATTCAAAAAGAAAAAATATGAACCATTTTTATTATTATATAGATTTTAATACTTTAATAATATTATAGTAGTTTTTTAAATAAACATGGACCGGTCAGAAGACGAAATTGTGTGGTTGATAGAAGAATATCGTCGGCATGAGAAATTGTGGAATCCCAGGCACAAAGATTATTAAAAGAGACATGTAAAAAAAGACGCATATGAAGACATAGGCACGATTTTATTAAAACCAAAAGATGAGATGGAAAGGAAACTCAGTGTTATTTTATCGAAATACCGGAGAGCTCGGCAAAAGGTTGAACGAATGAAAAAATCAGAAATGGACACAGAAGAGATTAATAAAGAAGTGTGATTTGGATACAAACATATAGGTTTTTTGAGTGACATATATGCCAAATGAAACACGGGAAACGATGAGTATTTTTTATTTTACGTAACTGGTAGGTTTTATATGCAGCTTTTTTTTATTCAAAATCCCTTTGCCACTGTACTCTTCCAACCGTAGAAAAATATTCAGCGAAATTATCTCAAATTTGACGCGACTTCATAGTAGATTTTCTTGGAATGTTTCTAAATTGATCTCTTCTCCATGAGCTGGGAATTATTTGCAACGTCTTGTAATCTTTACGATCAAAGTCGTCTTCAGGAGCATATACCTCTGTAGATTGTTTACTTTGAATTAAAAAATTGTGTAGATAGAGACATGCAAGTACTACGGAGGTAGCCTTTCTCGGTTCCAATAAAAGTGGCTTACGTAGAACACGAAACACAGATAATACTATCCCAAACGAATTTTCAACTATTCGTCGAGCTCTATAAATTCTATAATTAAAGGCTCGTTGAGGGCTTCGCTTTAAATGCATTCCAGGGTACGCCTTCATTATGTTTCCCTGTAGAGGAAAAGCATCGTCATCTATATTCTGTAAAGGTGTACATTGTTCCTGTCCTAACAATGGTTTTGCTGCTGATAAGGTTCCATCTTGTAGCTTTGTAGCCCGATCAGTGTTTTTAAAAACTCCTCCACCAGAAATCCTTCCCTGACATCCTACATTGGCAAATGAAAATGAGTTATCTGCTTTAACTGCTGCCATAAGAATAATGCTAAAGTACCCCTTATAATTAAAATATTCGCTTCCGCTATTAAATGGCTCTTGCAGTGTGATGTGTTTACCATCGATAGCACCTATACAATGTGGGAAGTTATATCTATTATTATATTCTTCGGCAACCGCGAGCCATTCTTCAGATGAATCCGGAATCTGAAAATAAAATACCAATACATTTCAACTGTCTAACGCATTGTTAAAATTAAAATTAAAAAATGTAGATTAAATTTTGTTTTAGGAGGCGCAGGATGCATCTGCTAATGTGGGAACTTCTGAAACAAATGTAGAAAAAAATGACGTTGCCGTTGATGAAGCGAATACGACAGCGAATACCACAGCGAATACCACAGCGACAAACAGTAATGAACCTCAGGATAAAGAATTACATGTAAATGACTTAACAGAAAACAGAACAGAAAGTTTGGAGGAAATAAGCAAGACACGAAAAAAGTGTGTCAACAACTAAGTAGCAGGTGTCAAAAAACATGAAGACAACAGAAAATGACAACCAAGCCGCAGAAGCTCTCAAAACTATATATGAAAAAAAGAATGTGCCACCTGATGCAAATCATATTGCTATGAAGCTAAGAGGCTTTGATCCGTTAACCAGAGCACATATCGAGTTTAAAATTAACAAAATAATGAGACCGAAATGAGCAGCTTACAATTGCAAACCTCATCCTCAAATGTATCAAACTGCAGTAGAGCCAGCTATGCGGTTTCGCAACCACAGTCAGTTTCACCGAAACTAGCACTCTTGATTCACAGCCCTCTGAACAGCATTTCGGATCATCATTAGATGATGCAAGTAGCAACTCATCTATTGTACAAAATGCTTACTCCTGAGATAAGGATTCTCAAGTACGGCCAGGTGTTTGTAGTACACCAATGCCTTCTCCTCAAGAGAAAGAGCATTTTAACTTGAATGATTATATTATTCCAAAAAATTATCAGAATTTAAAATAATGTACATAATATTATTTTGTATGTATTTTAAAATAAATGAATAGGAATGTAAAACAAAATTGCTTACCTTTATTAAGTCACTCAGAACTGTAAATAAAGCTTCACATACATCTGGTACAATCGCAGAAACACTTTGCTTGGAAATTTTGAATAAATACATCAGGCTTGTATGGGAATGTCCTGTTGCCAAAAATCGCATAATCAAAGCCAATCTTTCCCTGGATGAAATACACTTTCGATAGTTTGTATCCTGTTTTGATATTATCGGTCCTACCAGAACCAAGAGTTTTTCAAAATATGCTACAGACATACGGTTACAATTTTGAAATAAACTTTGGTCCTCCATTTGTAAATCTTTGAGCAAAAGAACTCCATATCTTGAGCGATTTTTAAATAAACTTTTTTGCCACCATCGCCTGGTCTTACATTTTTTTTTCGACACAATATTTCGTTTTACTAAAAACTAGACTCCTCAAGCAATTATTAGATTGCTTTCGTCATCACTTTCCAGTAATGACATTTTTTTTATTTAATTATTTCAATTAGTAATAAAAAAAAATTGAACACAGAACTGAAACTCTTTCTTGTATAGACAATGCGTTCGCGAGCTGCTCGGGTTCAGTTCGGGAGCTGTTTTCGAACAGCTCGCGAACTCTTTATTTCGGCCTGTACCCACCTTAACTAGATCTAATGTTTTCTTCATATCCATATTTATATATAGATTTGTCTTCCTGTTCATTATGTCTTTTTAGTTTGTCCTTTTATATTATTCCTGAATCAGCTCTGTATTCTCCTTTTGATCTTGCCTATATTCTGGATTCTTTAAGTATGACATAATGTGTGATTTATTTGATATTCTTGCACTTATTTCTGTGCACTTTTTATATATTAATGTTCAAATGCTTAAAATAATTTGTTTTCACATTGTAGATCAAAGATGCAATAAAATATATCGAAGATATGAACGAATCATCCGAAAAATTAAAAATTTCCCAATACTACTCTATAAAAGAACATAACAATTTCAAATACATCGATTCACTCATCGATATCTTACCATTTTCCCTCAAACAAGACATTTTCTACGACCTAAACTGTGGTCTCTTACGTAGATCTTTGATTCTCAAAGAGTTACCCGTCTCCATTTTAAAAAGGTTATCTTTGGCTATGAAAACCGTAATATTAGCATCTGGAGAAAGTATATACTTCCAATATGCCGTTAAAACTTGTATGGTTTGCGTTGAGGATGGAATTTTGGAAGTACTTAATGACGAAGATCAAGAAAGTCCGCTTATTTTTTTTAGAAATGGTACTGTTTTAGGTAAGTTTGATTACCTCTTTAGAAGTAACACTAAAATAGCACATCAAGATCTTTGTGGTGTCCCAACTTATATTGATTTCAATTTTTTTAGGAGAAATTGCTCTATTTTTCAATATTCCCTCAAAAGCCACAGTCAGAGCAGGCAAAAACACTGAACTCCGAATTCTTGAAAAGCGCGATTTTTTGGATATCATGCATCGTTTTCCAGAGCATCTCAAAAATCTACAAACAATTTTAAACAAACGCTTGTCGTCTGCGAACAAGCCTAGGAAAACGATTCAAAAATTTTGCCTGCCTAGCCTGAGAAGGTTAAAAGTAAAACTGAGCAATATTTTCGTTACTGGCGAAACCGAATTTGATTTGGACGAAGAGCATTATGAACTGTATAAGTTATATGGAGAAAGAGATAAACTAGCTTATGTAGTTGATAACGGAAATGGATTGGTAAGTGAGTCAATATTGCAGAGACTTAAGTAACTCAGTTGTTTAAACATTTGGATTCAAAAATATAAAGGATAACATCAGGGGGCTTTGAAATAAAGTATGAAAACAACTAGATCACTGTTGGGTTCTAATTAACAGTGCTGTTCCTGAAGTGGCGCTGGGAAACAGTAACAAAGCCTACATAGAACACACATGATTGAGAATTTAAAACACAAACTTGAGACTGGCATATTAGGTATATACACCTAGGCCATAAATCGAAAAAAAAAAAAACTAGAGATTATTATTTGTTGTTTTGTTATCACTATCTCTAAGGTAGGTGTATATAACCGATGTCTATGGGAGAGTTCACGTCGTGCTTTCACAAATAGTGAAAAATTCAATCCAAATCTCGTGTAAAAATTTTTTATTTTTAATTGATAAAAGAGATATTGATAAATTGATTAAATTTTCAGCTTTCTTGAGCGATATTAGTGGAAATCGACAAAGAATATTTTGTGAAGGCTGCAAAAACCAATATAATGCTTGCTGTTTAGTAAGAAATAAGGGTATTATAAAACTGCTCTCAATGTGTGAAGAGTTGTCTCGTGCTTGATCCTTCAGGTGTTCAAAGTATGGTTGAAAGCAAACTGAATGACGCATTAATTTTTTTTTTTAAAACAACTTAAGCCTGACCAAAGAGGTTAGAAAGGGTAGAGGTAACATAGGAAGCATTTGTCGTTGCGCGAATTTTGCCAAAACCGAAAAATTGGGTGGAAGGAGTAGGGAGATGTTCTGGGCCGGACTTAAATATATGTATTGTAGTACCTAATTTTGGTGGGTAACTAAAAGTTGAAAAATTATGAGACGTTTTTTTGACTTTATTTTAGCACGATTCATGTATGATGAGGGCAATAACACTTTATCAATATATAACTAGCTAAGGGCCGATTCTACCGTTGTGTCAAAGATTAAAATGACATTGTTAATGTAAAAATGTCATTTTAAACTCCAATTAGTAATTTAAACTTAGTTTTTGTTAATATAAAAATGTCATTTTAATCTTCGTTTAATATTTTAAACTTCGTTTAACAAAACGGTGAAATCAACCCTAAGTAAAAGTTTATAAAATTATTGCAACAAAATAGCTGTTGAGACAAAAAGTTATCGAAACAGCCAAAGTACTTTTTGCTCGAATTAATTAAATTTTATTAGAAATGGGTTAACTTTTCGTTCGTTATATTTTAAGTTTATTTGACATAAGCCCACTCTTCAAAGAGAAAAAAATGTTTTTTTACTTATATGCCGGTAATTATTTATGATATAATTATTTACGGAAAATACCGTTCAATGAATTAAAATATTAGGAAGTCAATTAATAGATATTTATGTAACCAGTTACGAAATGCCTTATTTTGTGTAACGAGTAAATATTTGCGGAACGAGCGGAGCAAAGTCCCGCAAAATGAACGAGTTACACAAAACGGCATTTCGTAACGTGTTTACATACAAGATTTTTTCTAATTTTTACTTAATTATTTATAAAATTGTGTTGAAAAATGATTTACCGTCATTCTTCTGTAGGTACTTCCAATCAAATATTTTAGAAAATTGTTTTATTTGATTGCCCTACGACCTATTTTTTTTTTCAATATTAATAATAAAAATAAGGGACATGTGCAGTGTTGCCGATCTAATTTTTGACATTACCCGCGAGATATTTGAAAAACAACATTTTTACCCATTATCCTTAAAGGAGTACGTCAAAATTTTACCTCCAACATTTCTGGGCAGTTTTCAATAACGGTGTTATTTTAAAAATAAAACGCAATTTACAGCTTTTCTTTTTTTGTTTTCTTTTTTGTTGTTAAACGTAATGTCATAATTTCAAATGTAAAATGTCACTATTAATTGCCTTTTTTTCGATATTTGGTTTTTTCAATTTTTCGTTTTTTGGATTTTTGGATTTTTCGATTTTTCGATTTTTTATTTTGCGATTTTTAGATTTTTAGATTTCTCGATTTCTCGATTTCTCGATTTCTCGATTTCTCGATTTCTCGATTTCTCGATTTCTCGATATCTCGATTTCTCGATTTCTCGATTTCTCGATTTCACGATTTTTCGATTTTTCAACTTAAAAACCAAAATAGAGGCAGTTTTATTTATTTTCATTTCGTAACTGGTGACATAATCAACTTTTCGTAATCAGTTGCATAATGTTCTACTTTATGCAACTGGTTGCATAAAGTAGATCGTTTTGATACTTGCTGCGATTACAAAATATATTACTTTATATGTCAAAATTAGAGAAAATACCAGAATGTAAATTAAATGGATAGATTCCATATTATTATAAAGCAGTGTTTCTCAAACTTTTTTTGGCGAAATATTTGACGGAGCCCTAAACACACAAAACACATAATTTAAAAAATTTATTTCAAATTTTTCTTTATTTTGACTCTTACTTTGACTTTCAATAGGTATACATGATAAAAAATCGGCTTTATATTATGCTCCGATTTCACATATTATTCAATTTTATAATTGTAATTTGACAATATTACTGCCCATCTACGTAGTCTGTTGGCTGAAAATTGGGGTATACATTTAGCTGGGTTAAAAATAGTTACCAGAGGTAAGTGATCTGTAACTAGGATAAAGAAATGTCCATATAAATATTCATTAAATTTATTAAAGCCAAAAATTATTGCAAGGACCTCTCTTTCAATTAGGGAATATTTTTGTTCGGACTTTGATAAGGTACGCGAAACAGAAGCTATAGATTTCTCAATATTTTTTTCAAAAACATGACATACATGGCCCTTATTCCCACATTTGATGCATCTACGAATAATTTAATCGGCTACAGAGGCTGAAAATGCACAAGAACAACATTTGTTGTTAATTAATTTTGGATTTATTCCCAAGATTCCTTGCTAGAATTATCCGTAAATCCATTTCACCCATAAAAAATAAAATAAAAAAAAGTCCTAAAGCAAAATCATATCCTCCTTCCTCTTAGTGACTTAAAAAAATTACTTCTCAAAAAAAGGTCCTCAAGCCAGGTCCCTCCATTTTGTGGCGATAGTACTGTTTTTTTTTGTAATTATTTTCTTCGCGGAGCCCTCACAAAGGCTGTGCGGAGCCCCGGAGCACACTTTGAGTAACACTGTTATAGATAATTACTAAATAAATAGTTTTGAGAAAACTATTGAAACCAGTTGTGAAGTTTGAAACGAATAAATTGGCAATGATTTTGATATTTTTGTATTTGATTGTATGTTTCTCTTTTCACTTCCTAAAGATTCCCCATGAAACAAGAAATAGTAAACAGTTTATAATAATAACCTTTATTTGTTACTTATTACATGTACCAATGACCAAGTCCGATTCTGTTTATTTTCAAATCAACAAATATGGACGTCGACAGAATTCTTAAAAATTAAACATTTCACCGAAATAAATGTAAGTTTCTTTTATCTCCGTCACATTTTGCAGGTTTATTATAAATAAAGCATTTTACAACACATCTTGGCATTTTCAACGTTAATTTCTAAAATTTAAGTCACCAGAATACCAAATTAATTCTCGTTGACACATTAAATTTGGATGGACAACGCTCTGACATGTGATGTTCTCAACTGTGATTGGTGGGTGTGAATAATTTCGAAATGGGATTATGCGCAGTGTCTTATGTTCCATCTAAGGTTTGTATAATCTAAGAGCCTGACATACCCAAAATGAAAGCTGATTCAAAGCCTCCTATAGAGAAGTTAAAATATTTAGTGATTACGCAACTAAGGTATATATTATTGGCAACATCGATCCATGTCAAGAGAATTTGTAATTATCAAAAGTAAAGTCTGTGTCTGTAAAAGATGTCCAACTCATATAATGTTCAATTTTTTTGAGTAGTTTGTACTTTGGGATTCTATCAAATGCCTCAACAAAATCCAAATATATATCATCTGTAAGAAAACCAACAAATAATTAATGTTTTTAGCCAGTTATTAACAGACTTCAGGAGACTGGCTATGGTGGAAACTCATATAATAAATTCACGTACCTTATCACATATTATAAACTCCATTAATTATAATAACTTTGTAAAGTAATGGCTCAATGCTTATCGATCTACAGACATTATTTGCATTTTTAAATATGGCAGTCAGAGAGTGAAAATTAAAAAAGAAGATTATTATACTAAATAGTATGACAGAGCACACTATTTTAAAAGAAGATAGAAGATACATCTCTGTATCTGTAACGTGTGGAGGGTGGGTTAACCTACAGCACTTATGCCTCACTAGGTCCATTGTACATCCTCCTAGCTCGTGAGCCAGCCAACAGATTTAATTTAGTTGACAACGTCACCAAGAGGTGCTTCTCTTATATCGGCCGGTGATAGCTAATTCTCGCCGAACACAAATATTCCAATGAATGAGAGCGTCGAGCAATCGTAGAGGATATGCTCGATGGTCTCATGTTCTTGATCGCACCCCCTGCAGAGTGTGGATTCTGACAGCCCCACGTTATGGAGATGCTTCCGTAGTTGGAAATCTCCAGTCAGAATGCCTGTGATCAGGCGCAGATTCTGTTTAGTCAAGTATTTATTCTCTGCAGTATTGTCAGGATAACTTAAAAGCTCCCTGGCAAGTCTGCAGCTTCTTATTTCATTCCATCTTTTTTGAACTTCACAAGGGAATGTTCCTGTCACTACCGATGTTGTCAGTCAAGGGCCAGGTCCAAAAAGTATTTGGTTGGCTGCCTTTTTGGCAAGTGAATCAGCAAGACATACCTTTAGATGTGGCGTGACCTTTGATCCATCTTAAGTTGACCCCATTGTTGATGGATGCTTCGGCCAAAGCTTCGTGACATTCTAGTACTAACCCTGAATAAATTCGTGGTCTGTCCAGGATGAGTAGTGCTTGTCTGCTATTTGTATAGATGAGTATGTTTCTTCTAGTAATATTATTTCTGGTGATTTCTTTTGCTGCTATGAGAATCCCCGTGAGCTCGGTTTGAACTACACCGGCACTACTGTTCACAGCCCATTTTATGTTTAGGTTTAAGGATCTGAAATAGATTCCACATCCTGAGCCTTGTTTTGTTTTAGAACCGTCGGTGTAGATATGAATTGTACCTGCCACTTCCGGCTCTTCTATTTGATCTGTTATAACTTTATATCGCTCATAGAAGATATATCTCGGTGGAGTCCATGTTTTTTTGAAGCAGTGGGAGCGTATCGAGCGCCTCCTGCCAAAAACGACATCTCGCCTCACCAGATCCTACATCAGGTTCCATTCCAACCGTGCGGAAGCGTGTCATTGTAATAAGAGCAACCCCCTTGATGTAAATATCAAGGAGAGTAAGACTAAGAATGACTTCCATTGATCTAGTCGGTGTGGTTTTCATGGCTCCTGTTATGTTGAGGTATGGTGTTCTTTGAATTTGTTTTACTATGCGGATAGCTGTCAATTTTTAGGTTTTCGGTACCCAGACAACTCCATCGTATGTTAGCATAGGTCTTATGATGGCCGTATAAGTCCATATTCTTTTTACTCTGTTTTCTAAGTATGAGTTACATGTTAACTTGCTCTCAAAGGTGAGACCTAGGTACTTTACCTCTATTGCAAAGTTTAGCTGTGTAAAAACACAATATCTGTTTTCTTGGGATTGATAGATAGTAAATGGTCCTTGCACCACTGTTATATAATTTTGAGAGCTACTTGTATTCTTTCGCAGAGTATGTTCCCAGAATTTTCTCTTTGCATAATGACCAGGCCATCTGCATACGCTATCGTGTAGTGACTGTCATTATCGAGGCGACTAATATTTATTGCTCGCTTTGAGAGTATGTTGTGTATACCCACTGGAACATGTCTGTTTTTTAATGAGTGTATTATCTTGGGAAAGGTCGTCTTATTAAAAACACCTTATATGTCTATCAAAACGTCCAATGCGGACTCTTTATTGTCCAGTGATCTGTCTATCCGGTCAGAAACTAGGTACTGAATCAATAGATCTTCCTGGTGTGTACGCATGTTGATTTGGGTGTAGTAGTGTTGTTGTAATCACCACATCCCTTATGTACCTTTCGCATAGCCTTTCCAGTGTCTTCATGGAAAACGATGTCAGGCTAATTAGTCGGCGTGTTTTTGGGACAGTGTCCTTCCAGGTTTAGGTATAAAGACTACCTTTACCTCTCTCCATTTTTGGGGGATATACCTTAGAACTAAAGAGGATCTGAATATACCTACCAGGTACGGTGTGCGTTCTTGCAGACCCCACTGAATTAGGGCTGGAAAAATACCGTCAGATCCTAAATGGAGAGACGCTAGATATTGTCCATCTAATTTTGTCATCGTCTACAATGTGTTTGGCAGTTTTCAAATCATAAACAGATGGGTTGTATTCTTCCTCTGCCCAGTCGGCCACATCTGTAATGATCGAGTCAGGGAAGTGTGTTGACAGCAGAAGTTTGATGTTATCTTCGAGGTTTGCAGTTTGCATGCCATCCTGTTTGATAAGCGCACCAATTCTACGATGTGGATCTCTTGAGAGAGCCTTTTAAAGCCTCGCTGCCTGCAAGAAATCTTTGATTTCTTCGCAGTAGGATATCCATTCATCTCTCTGTTTTTGTCTAACGATTTTTTTGTATTCTCCGAGGTGAGATTTGTACGTATCCCAGTCCTCTTTGAGTTTTGTGGTTCTTGCCTTATTAAAAGATTTCCTAGCCATCTTCCTGAGGTGATCCAACTCGTGAAACTACCTTGTGGTAGTCGTCTGATTGTGTTGGACCAGCCTCCGGGGGCAGAATTTCTTATGGGCATTGTTTGTTGTGCTTAGAATAGTGTTCGAGTACTTTTCCAAATGATATTTATAAGTGTTTGACTTCGAGAGTTTAAAAATGTTGGTGTAGTAACTTTGTTTAAAATACATAAATGTTTGGTAATTATATAAGTGACTTGCCTTTAGCGTTGTTATTCTTACTGCCCCAACTTAAGTGATGAGCATTTGAGTCGCAACCTATTACCAGCTCAAACTTCTGGTTCAGGTAGTATTCAATCAGATCTTCCATTTATGCTGCAAGTTACATTGTATAATGTTTACCTTCTTAATTGCTTTCCGATCCCCCATTGAAGTTTGGGAAGGGTTTGAAGTTAGTGTTTTGACCATCCTTTCTTTTAAAAGGGGGAGGGGGTGGTCTAGAGTGGCTTCTCAAAGTTGTAACCAATGGCGGTATTTTATTGTCCTTGGTTGCATCGTGTTCCTAGCCTTTTGTGGAGGCAGAACTAGAGTCGCTACCCAAAGACTTTGGGCTACTTAGGTTATGTTTGGAGTGAGGGTGCATCCTGCCGGTGGTAGTTGCCGTAGATCTGCCTGCCTTCAGTTTAGCCTTCTTCCACCTCTTTGCTTCATAACCAAATATCATTTTGCTTCTCTGGTGCCTGTCGGTTTGAGGTAAGCTGCGATGCCCATCCTCGTATTTTGGAGGTTGATGTCGCTGTCAAGCTTCCTGTGCTGGAGTTGAACTTTGCTGTCCAGTCTTCTTTGCTGGACGTTGACATTCAGTCTCCTTTTCTGGAGGTGAGCGTTAACGTCAAGCCTTCTTGAATTTGTCTTGGTTTGGATCCATAAGGTCCCCACGAGTAGCTAGGGAAAGAAGGATCGACCGACGTTGAGCCCCGCAAGCACTGGCAAGGCTAGATACAAAAGGGTGTCGCCTGGTACTCTCAGAGGAATGTTGGCTGCCGCATCTGCTCTTGCGACAATTCAATCTCCGGCACGTTACCTTACACCTTAGATTGGAGGAGTTAGTTCACGGCGGTAGCCATTGCAAAAGATTTTGAGAGTTTTTAGACTCTCTCACTCACCAGGAAAATCCATGCCGGTCTCCTATCTATCCACCACCCATTTATCCACAAGCCATTTAATTTTGTCTTTTAATATGTCTGGTCTAAAAGCTACGTTGAAAATAGTAGCTAGTAATCATGTTTAGAGAAATGTCTGGATGTGGTGATATTAGATCAGAAGACATTACAGAAGGTGTTAGAAAGGATTCAATGTTGATTATTTTCTTTTTATAGAAGAGGTATGGACACTAGATTCTACCATATCATTTTTTCTAGAGCCATATACTCCTGATATGTATTCTTTGCTTTTATAACTGCGCCCTTTAGATTCGAGAATGGTAATTAAGGAAATAATCTTTAATGTTGCTGGTTTGTTTGAAATTTTATCCTAAATATTTCTTGTATTTTACCAAAGACATCAGTTGATTATTTATTCATGGTTTCAGATCTTTTCTTCTATTTTTGTTTTAAGTTTTACGAATTTTTAAAGATATTTCACTTGTAACATGGATCAGAATTTTCAGAGATATATAGTAAAATACATTTACTATTTTTTGGGAAAACACGCCCTCTATATCCCTGAAAGTAAACACAATATATATTTTTTAGTTTAACTATTGGAAGGTAATGAGCGATGTTGGGCAAATTTTGTTTTGCATCTTGTACCCGTACTACGCAGTTTTTGAAAAGAATATTCCTGAATATTTAAATTGTTTTGGAATATGTACTGACATTTCGTGTTTTTTCGATGTGGTTTTCCAGACGACAACGTCTATTAAAGTTGAGGTAAGCAAGAAAGAAAACAAATAATTAACTTTCAAACTCAAAATAATAACTGCTATTTCAAATAAAAACAATGTCAATTACTTCACTGCTTATGTAAGCTACTTTTTGAAAATGTCACGCGTTTGCTTCGTGCAGTTATTGTGTTCATTTTAAAATTGGTCATACTTTTGTATTTTCTATTACTTTTTATTTTCCTTTTGCGTTAATTTTCTTTTTATTTTCTTTTTGTTTTGTTTTCTTTTTGTTTTCTTTTTGTTTTCTTTTTGTTTTCTTTTTGTTTTCTTTTTGTTTTCTTTTTGTTTTCTTTTTGTTTTCTTTTTGTTTTCTTTTTGTTTTCTTTTTGTTTTATTTTTGTTTTCTTTTTGTTTTCTTTTTGTTTTCTTTTTGTTTTCTTTTTGTTTTCTTTTTATTTTTTGTTTTCTTTTTGTTTTCTTTTTATTTTTTGTTTTCTTTTTGTTTTCTTTTTGTTTTCTTTTTGTTTTCTTTTTGTTTTCTTTTTGTTTTCTTTTTGTTTTCTTTTTGTTTTCTTTTTGTTTTCTTTTTGTTTTCTTTTTGTTTTCTTTTTGTTTTCTTTTTGTTTTCTTTTTGTTTTCTTTTTGTTTTCTTTTTGTTTTCTTTTTGTATTATTTTTGTTTTCTTTTTGTTTTCGTTTTGTTTTCTTTTTGTTTTTATTTGTTTTTTTAGGTCCTATATTTTTGTTTGTCTTAAATAATGAACGTCAACATATCATGGCTACCTCGAGATACTATGTAGAATAAGTAATCATGAAACACCATGTCACATCAATATTCTCAAAAAAATTGTTACCCCTCACGATGGCAGAATTTTTTTTTCTAATTTCCACTTCACCTCATCCCCAAAACTGACCCCTAAGATATATAATTTTCGTACAATGTACACCTTATTCTCAACATTTGTGATTTTATTCATATTTTTCTGAGCGTTATTTTGAATGTAAGATGGATGGACAACCGCAAATTAGTATTATTTATTTTTGAAATCATGCTTTAACGATTTTTTATTTCTTTGATAACCCACATTTTTTCTGATTTCTAATTTAACACTCGTCCCACTCCCAAACTGACCCTAAAATAAAATATCTACTTTTTTAGTTAGAAAAGGCACATTTCTTCTTAAAAGTGAGTATACCTCTTTTTTTTTTTTTTTCAGGGAAAAGTGGTTAGAACTGTAACAAAAATCGTGGATCAAAAACTGAACGATTGGAAATTCAATATGGACGTATTTTCACTGTTTCCTATAGGTTAAAAATAAAAAATTTCCCCAACAAATTAAAAAAATTAAACTTTCACTTTTTCAGAAGTATGGTCGTTTCTTTTTGAAAATACAACACTGGAAAAAAGATTTTTTGATTTGTTTAAACTAAATCGACTATTGAGATTGCATAGAATGCCGAATCTCCTAAACATGTTAACTGATGAAATCAATTTGTCAATGGTAATACATTGCTTATTTGTTTTATATAATTATTAAATTTTAACTTTTTTTTAGTCTTGGAATATTTTAAATATCTTTGTATACTGTACTTTATGTACTTATTATTCAGCTTGCTTTCTGTATTTGAATGCTTGTTTTGGTGTTATTTGTAATGATTTTAGCTGGTTTTATGTAAGTATGCTTATAATACGAGAATCATTGATGTACATCGAATTTGTTTTGGTTTGTACTGAAGTATATCATAAATTTGTACTTTGTATTCTGGGAAATGGAATTAATATTTGCGCAATTGTTTTAATAATTTATAAATGCATAAAGAAATTACTATGTATATTGTTCATTTATTGGCATTTTGAATTTCATTAACTAGTTTTGCTTATTCGTTCACTAAGAAAAATGGATTTTAAACTTTTAAATAAAAAATAAAGTTTTTGAGCAAGGCCTGCTCAGAGGAGGGTATCGTGGCCATTGATGATGTGATTAAAATTTTTCCTATTTATAAATAATAAAAAATATATCTCTCAAAATTGTAGTTGCTAATTATTGCAAGGAGGATGTGTCAACTGTGTTCGAAAACCAGAGAGTAAAAGTTGCCACTATCAGTGGCACTGCTATCAAATGCAACAGATTACATTTTTTACTAGTAGGAATAGAAGTTTAACTTTGTGTTTGTATATTGTGTAATGTGATACTTGTTATTTTATCTATTTTTTATAGTGTTTTAAGCTCAAATGATTTTAGGAGTGGGTTAGGTTATTAAATAACTCGTATTACTTTGAACAAGAAGTTGGGCACCACTATATTTAACGAATTCTAGATGGCGCTGTACACATAATTTACAGAAATCCACAATTGATGGTGGAAAGAGTGCGAGTTGGGGGAGGAGTGTCATTTGTTATTGGTCATTGGCTCCCATTACCAGTATTTATTGTGGTTAATATCATAATATCAATAATTATTGTTTAATTGTTTTTATTTGGGAGTGTCCTGGATCCTGTATGAATAAATAGAAAGTATTTTCTAAATTATTGTCAACTTGGTCTTGTTCAATTGTGTTTTTAATATTCAATTTGTTTACTTGATCTTGCTGACAATTGTTTCTCAAAAGGCATCGTTTTCCCGAACCCGATCCTAATAATGATTTATTTCAAATTTGGGTATTAGCTGTTCGCAGTCCGTTTTTCAATAATAAAACGGCACAACAAATTCGTAAAAACTATTTAGTATGTGATAAACATTTTGAAGATAAATTTAAAGTTCCTGAAACTCACAGAGTTCTAATTGTTGAAGCATATCCAACATTATTCCTCTCAGAATCGGAAGTGCTGTGTCTTGATCATGTACCAGATGAACTTCCTTTAATTTCGAATGATATACATGCCTAACACATTTGATTTTTATATTGATTTAATTCAGATTGTTACTTATACTGTTTTTTAAATTTGTTCTAGTACGAACTTTCTTCAAACCGTTTGGAGTGGAAGAATTGCATCGTGGAAACCAAAACAGCCTAATCAGGGAAGTAATAGTCACTTTACCTTTTTGTATTCATGTCTCACTTTCCCTGATGCCTAACACATTTGATTTTTATATTGATTTAATTCAGATTGTTACTTATACTGTTTTTTATTTGTTCCAGTATACACCTTCTTCAAGCAGTTTGGAGTGGCAGTATTGCATTGTGGAAGACAAAACAGCCTAGTCAGGGAAGTAATAGTCACTGTACTTTTTTATTCATGCCACACTTTCTGTGCTCCCTAACAGATTTGAATGGTTCAGGAAAAAGGGACCAAGTCACAATTACCAAAATGGAAAGAAAATTTAAATTTAGACTGACTAAATACAAACTTTTAATACTTTAAAGTAATTGATTACAAAAAGATGTTACTTTGTATATATGCTACCTGATTATATTGTAGTTTACCACTTAATTTGCCAGAGAGTTGTAATTTTTTATTCTAAATACTGAAAGTGCCAAACAAACAGTAGGAAAAGATGCTAAGTCCTTGGACATAATTTTAAATGCACTGTTTTGCATTTGCTAATTTGGCTTATTACATGGAAACATACTGGTATTTTACAAAATAGGGCGGACCAGTTCAATTTTGATAAAAATGTGGCTAAGCTGTTTTTTTCTTCCTGTACCCTTCTTGATTTATGAGTTTATTAATATTTATTTTTTGTTCTAGATAAAACTCTTCAACCTTTGTGGAAAATGACTTAACTTTCCAGCTAATTAACACGCTACATTTAATTATTCTATTTGTATGTTTTTTGTTTTAATAAATTAATGTTGTTGATCATGCTTTTTAATTTTTTGTACTAATAAATAACAAAATATTTCAACTTGTAGTCAAGTTAGGATTGGTTCATACTACCTACTCATTTTTTGCTTTATTGTAACAAATATAATTTTATTGCTACAATAAACGTAAAAAGGAGTTAGTATGAACCAATCTTAATTTGACTACCACTTTTAAACTAAATATTGAATGACAATTTTGAATGTTCCCGCGTTTTGTGTTAACTCTAGTGACCGCGAGATGGCGCCACTTCCGTCCAAATAATTCAAAGAACGCTCACTCGGCGCTACAATAATGTCTCGAATTTTAACATTGCAGTGTCCATTCTAAAAGTAAGTGATCTGTGTTTACAACTTGTGTTTGAAAATTTATACGATGCCTTCATTATTTTTTACGCTTTAGATTGAAATTCGGTTTCAAGCTAGTTATTGTACTTCTTCTTATTATTTATATCTGATGCACTTGGAGTATTCTTTTCAAAATGTAAAACTTTTAAGTTCAGTTGTTTCAGTTTTTAATTTAATTTCTTGATTCAAAAAAAACGTGTTTTAACAATTGCAAGGTTCAGATTATCTTCACCTAGTGTCTCTAGTGCAGTGATAACGTCATATATGCATATTTAATTTATCAGATAACAAAGATTTAACACGAAACCTACTTATACTACCGCGTTCACTATTATATTGTTGTATATTTCTCTTTTGCATATTTTTTTGTGGCCATTTTTAACTTTTATTAGCACTTCTAAATAGTCAACTATTATTTTTATTTCTGGGCCCGTAATCTGTTATGGGTAACACTAATATTATTAAATAAAAAATCAGTGAATTAACGAACAAAACTTTATTTCTTACTTTTACTAACATCCATCGAAGAGTGAATATTTTATTTTACTAAATTAATAAAGTAAGTTAAGTAATACCTGTGACTAAATTCTTAGTAACATTATCAGTTCATGAATTATATTATTCAATTTTTGTTACAATAGAAATAAGTATTGATATACAGGAATATAATTTTGATATACAATTTCAACACAAGGGTTGCTTTATCTTCTAAATGGTCTGGACAGCATTGATTTCTTGATGGCAAGGTATACGAAACTCTATTCATAATTTTAAAAACTGCCATTATTGAAATGTTGTCGAATATGAACTCCACTCATACAACAGAATTTTCTCCATAGTTGATATTAATTATTTTCATTTTCATTAGGATCTTCGTGTAAGTCAACAGTCTCTGGAATACCTTAAAAACCCATACAGCACAAACACATTTCGGAAAAAATTTAAAAATATTACATTGAAACATTTGTAATGTATAAATATTACGAAACATCCCAGAAACATTTCTGAAATGTGCCTGAAACGTTAAAATTTTCTGCAAATATAATATTTCACAGTAATATTTCTAAAATAATAATTTGAAATCTTTTAGAAATATTAAATAGTAATATTTCAGAAATGTATTGTAGCTTTTTTTTTTTAATATTATTAGACTAACAAAACATGTTTATTTAAAATATACAAAACTCAAACATTGATTCTTAAACAAACAAATAAACAAACAAACAAACAAACAAACAAACAAACAAACAAACAAACAAACAAACAAACAAACAAACAAACAAACAAACAAACAAACAAACAAACAAACAAACAAACAAACAAACAAACAAACAAACAAACAAACAAACAAACAAACAAACAAACAAACAAACAAACAAACAAACAAACAAACAAACAAACAAACAAACAAACAAACAAACAAACAAACAAACAAACAAACAAACAAACAAACAAACAAACAAACAAACAAACAAACAAACAAACAAACAAACAAACAAACAAACAAACAAACAAACAAACAAACAAACAAACAAACAAACAAACAAACAAACAAACAAACAAACAAACAAACAAACAAACAAACAAACAAACAAACAAACAAACAAACAAACAAACAAACAAACAAACAAACAAACAAACAAACAAACAAACAAACAAACAAACAAACAAACAAACAAACAAACAAACAAACAAACAAACAAACAAACAAACAAACAAACAAACAAACAAACAAACAAACAAACAAACAAACAAACAAACAAACAAACAAACAAACAAACAAACAAACAAACAAACAAACAAACAAACAAACAAACAAACAAACAAACAAACAAACAAACAAACAAACAAACAAACAAACAAACAAACAAACAAACAAACAAACAAACAAACAAACAAACAAACAAACAAACAAACAAACAAACAAACAAACAAACAAACAAACAAACAAACAAACAAACAAACAAACAAACAAACAAACAAACAAACAAACAAACAAACAAACAAACAAACAAACAAACAAACAAACAAACAAACAAACAAACAAACAAACAAACAAACAAACAAACAAACAAACAAACAAACAAACAAACAAACAAACAAACAAACAAACAAACAAACAAACAAACAAACAAACAAACAAACAAACAAACAAACAAACAAACAAACAAACAAACAAACACAAACAAACAAACAAACAAACAAACAAACAAACAGACAAACAGACAAACAGACAAACAGACAAACAGACAAACAGACAAACAGACAAACAGACAAACAGACAAACAGACAAACAGACAAACAGACAAACAGACAAACAGACAAACAGACAAACAGACAAACAGACAAACAAACAAACAAACAAACAAACAAACAAACAAACAAACAAACAAACAAACAAACAAACAAACAAACAAACAAACAAACAAACAAACAAACAAACAAACAAACAAACAAACAAACAAACAAACAAACAAACAAACAAACAAACAACAAACAAACAAACAAACAAACAAACAAACAAACAAACAAACAAACAAACAAACAAACAAACAAACAAACAAACAAACAAACAAACAAACAAACAAACAAACAAACAAACAAACAAACAAACAAACAAACAAACAAACAAACAAACAAACAAACAAACAAACAAACAAACAAACAAACAAACAAACAAACAAACAAACAAACAAACAAACAAACAAACAAACAAACAAACAAACAAACAAACAAACAAACAAACAAACAAACAAACAAACAAACAAACAAACAAACAAACAAACAAACAAACAAACAAACAAACAAACAAACAAACAAACAAACAAACAAACAAACAAACAAACAAACAAACAAACAAACAAACAAACAAACAAACAAACAAACAAACAAACAAACAAACAAACAAACAAACAAACAAACAAACAAACAAACAAACAAACAAACAAACAAACAAACAAACAAACAAACAAACAAACAAACAAACAAACAAACAAACAAACAAACAAACAAACAAACAAACAAACAAACAAACAAACAAACAAACAAACAAACAAACAAACAAACAAACAAACAAACAAACAAACAAACAAACAAACAAACAAACAAACAAACAAACAAACAAACAACAAACAAACAAACAAACAAACAAACAAACAAACAAACAAACAAACAAACAAACAAACAAACAAACAAACAAACAAACAAACAAACAAACAAACAAACAAACAAACAAACAAACAAACAAACAAACAAACAAACAAACAAACAAACAAACAAACAAACAAACAAACAAACAAACAAACAAACAAACAAACAAACAAACAAACAAACAAACAAACAAACAAACAAACAAACAAACAAACAAACAAACAAACAAACAAACAAACAAACAAACAAACAAACAAACAAACAAACAAACAAACAAACAAACAAACAAACAAACAAACAAACAAACAAACAAACAAACAAACAAACAAACAAACAAACAAACAAACAAACAAACAGACAAACAGACAAACAGACAAACAGACAAACAGACAAACAGACAAACAGACAAACAGACAAACAGACAAACAAACAAACAAACAAACAAACAAACAAACAAACAAACAAACAAACAAACAAACAAACAAACAAACAAACAAACAAACAAACAAACAAACAAACAAACAAACAAACAAACAAACAAACAAACAAACAAACAAACAAACAAACAAACAAACAAACAAACAAACAAACAAACAAACAAACAAACAAACAAACAAACAAACAAACAAACAAACAAACAAACAAACAAACAAACAAACAAACAAACAAACAAACAAACAAACAAACAAACAAACAAACAAACAAACAAACAAACAAACAAACAAACAAACAAACAAACAAACAAACAAACAAACAAACAAACAAACAAACAAACAAACAAACAAACAAACAAACAAACAAACAAACAAACAAACAAACAAACAAACAAACAAACAAACAAACAAACAAACAAACAAACAAACAAACAAACAAACAAACAAACAAACAAACAAACAAACAAACAAACAAACAAACAAACAAACAAACAAACAAACAAACAAACAAACAAACAAACAAACAAACAAACAAACAAACAAACAAACAAACAAACAAACAAACAAACAAACAAACAAACAAACAAACAAACAAACAAACAAACAAACAAACAAACAAACAAACAAACAAACAAACAAACAAACAAACAAACAAACAAACAAACAAACAAACAAACAAACAAACAAACAAACAAACAAACAAACAAACAAACAAACAAACAAACAAACAAACAAACAAACAAACAAACAAACAAACAAACAAACAAACAAACAAACAAACAAACAAACAAACAAACAAACAAACAAACAAACAAACAAACAAACAAACAAACAAACAAACAAACAAACAAACAAACAAACAAACAAACAAACAAACAAACAAACAAACAAACAAACAAACAAACAAACAAACAAACAAGACAAATAAATAAAATAAAATATAAAGGCGAATCTCTTTATTTTCTCAAATTCCTTTAAATGCACTAATCTGAAACAAATACTTTTTTTTAATAAATGCCCCAAGTAAAGAAACATTTACGATTATTACAATCTAATCATTAAGATCAAATAGGAATTTTATTCTAATCTAACTTATCAAGGGATGATAAACTTCATGGACTTTTTTTTTCAAATCGGAACCCCATTTTTTTACATATTCTTAAAGTTCATAAAAAAATAAGAATTACTTAAAAGTTTTGCTGCGCGAAAGAAAAGTAGGCCATATTATGGTTAGCTATAAAAAAACTATAAAACTTTCGTCTGAAACCTTTAACTGTAATACTTTAATTTGAACACCCGATATAAAACTGGTGGAGGGACAGCAATTGTAGGTTTATTTAAATAGAAATAAGAGTATAAAATGCCTATAAATTTGATAAACGAAATGGCGTCACTCGTCTCAGAGAAGAGATAAAGTTAATAAATCTAACCTAACAAGCAATTTCTAAAGACATATTCTGCCTATTCTGCTTCCCATATAACAACAGCATGTTACCTTTTATTTGATTTCTACGATGTAAATTATATTTAATAGGTGATTTAGCTCAAATTGCTGGTACTGCGTGGATTCATAAATTGACCAGGACAAATAAAATCAGAGCAGCTTGACCTGTTCGCGGGCCAAAGTCTAGTTTACGATAAAGTGAAAGATACTATAATACGATAACGACAGAAATGTTGAGACCACCAAGTTTTTGAGTAACTTGGAAAACTTATCTGATTTTATATGCCCTGTTTAATTGAGTCAATCTCTGGGTACTTAAAGTTATCTGTTATGAGTTCTGGCAAATAAAAGAAAGTGAGAAAAGTTAATAAATTTAATAAAAAAAGAATGCAATTATATATACATTAAATTAATAATTAAATTTAAAAGATGGATGAAAATTGACTGTTAAAAAAAAATTGAATGAGGTTGAATGTAAATATTTAATTGTCTCGACCATGTGGCATTCTATAGCGGTACTTCCCTGTCGTATGTCGAGACTTGGAGATATGTCCAGACTTGGTTCTACATGGAATTGCATTTATTACACATACGTGAATGGTCTACAGGTTAAACAGCCTACTTCCTTAAGCGTCCTCATTATTAAAAACGCAAAAAGTGGGTTTTTACGAGATAGAAATGCATTTTAAGCTAAAGGCGTTAATATATGTATATAAATAAATGTTTGTTCTTTTCTCTTAGATTTTTAAGTTTTGGAAATAAAAATGTGTTTCACAAGCTATTTAAAACGATACCCTCCTTTAAATATTTCAAGAAATAATTCATTAATTTTTTAACGAGATAAACTAATTAGTTATGAATATCCAAAATTTTCTGCAAACGGATTTTCCCATTTTTATGTTACATAAATAAATAATATTAGCTCGTTCAATAATTTCCGTTGATAAATCTAATGAATACATTACTTTAATAACATCCGGTGATGTAGTTTATATTTTTACTCTATTTTAGTTAATCCCAAGAGAAATATACGCTATTGAAGATGCCAAATCAGCTTTAATAGACTCTATCTATTTTACAATAACGTCAACATTTTATACAGGAGTTGGTGATATTCTGCCAAAATCACCAAGTGATTATTGGATTCTTACCATTCTCATACTGTTATTTTTGATATTCAAAAGTTATTGGATTGGACAAATTACTTCATTCGCGTTTCTGAAAGCTATGTGCAGCGGTTTCCTGGAAACGACGTACTATATGAATTAGTAAGTACACAAAATACTTGTTTTATGATTAATAATTCGGGTCTCAAGCCAACTATTCGTTAACATAAAACCAAGAAATTCATTCCAACTAAATGAGTCCATAGTCCATTTAAGAATTATGCATAAAATTTATCTTCATAAAAGGTAGTGACTACAATACGCTAGTTCAGTGATGATGTAATTATGGTTCCACTGACAAAGTGACAGTAGATTTTTTGAATGCGTTTTGTTCGTTTTGTTTACCTAAATTATATCGTTTTTTCACTTTTATAAATATATTCCTAAAGTAAGTACATAACATGCATCAAATATACAATAATTTAGTTACCAATAACATACCTTTAAACTATTTTTTATGACCTGTAAACAATATTTAGAAATAAACTAAAAACAGTAAAAACGTATATGTCAAATTTATTGATGTTTTTGTTAAATGTTTGGTTAGAATTAAATGTCAGTGGAACCAAAATGACATCACACCGAACTAGCGTATTTGAAATTGGTTAAAATGAGAAGAAATGAAAACAGAGAAGAGTTAAAGTGATTTGGGAAACAACAAAAAAATGCTTGAATAATTATTTTACGATATTAGGTACCTATGTTTGTTGTTTAATTTTGCGTCGATTCGTTGAAAACAAACACCCATCATAAAACACATAATAACATCCGCCCCTTTACTATCAATATGTTGAAGAATGAAACTTATCCAGAGTTGGCTGGGTTCAGATCTTTCCACTTCTCACTTTCACATTTCTGGGTGATACTTATCAATGTTTTTGTAACATCGATATTTAATCATCGATGATAGATGTTACAAACATCAATGTTTACCTTTTGATGTTGTAATCATAGTAAACAATTTATATTTCAAAATTTTCTTGCTCAAGAAAATAAGATATATTTTTAGTTTAATCAAATCTACTTGAAAGAAAATTAAATAATTATGTATCTGATTTATCATAATTTTTAATGACTACTAATCTTAAGTAAGGATAATTCTGTCAAAAAGCAATAGGTACTCACTCATACATTATTCAACATTCAAAGATTTTACTTGTCATTGTTTAATATCGATGATAAGAAAACATCGATGTTTTGCAACCGATATTTTTAAGGTACCGATGTTTGCTTTCGATCATTCGATTTCACCATCGATGTACTACATCGATATTTTGCGTCGATGTCCAAGCACTAATTTTTAGTGACCCAAAAGAAAGATATTCGTGGACGTCGGTTTCATAAGGACGAGGAAGTGTAAAAGTGGGTGAAGTTGTGGATCCGTCAGCGACTTACATCAGTCTACAAGACTGGAATTGATTGTCTCGTTTCCCTGTAGGATAAATAATGTATTAAAAGTTTTGCCAATTACTTTTGAATAAAACAACCCTCATTGTCACTTTTAAGCGATTACTTCGTTTTCATTTGACTGACCCTCTACAAATATTAAAATATCTTTTTTGCAGTTTAACAGAAGTTTACAGAATTCCTAACCATTTCAAAAACAATATTTATAGATTTTTCCAAATAGATCAGTATTTCTACAGAGAAAAGAGCAAACTCTTTATACAGGAAACTGTGCCTAATTCGATGGAATCTCTTGTTCAAATATCAAGAAGCAAAGATGTATGGAGAAAAATTCCGTTTTTCAAAAAAGCTGATTCTTATTTTTTGGCGGTATGTTAAATCATTAAACTTAGTAGCGTAAAATTACCTGATTATCAAACCCATACATTTTTATGTCACATAATTTTATATTAGGGGTGCCGTGCGAGCCATTTTTAACCAGTCCGGCCCTAATCTTTGTTTCAGTTCCTCTACCTTCTTAACCGACTTCTAAAAAGGAGGAGGTTCTCAATTCGTCGGAATATTTTTTTTAACGTGTGCTCAGCGATAATTCTTTAGCACGTTTTCCGATTTCTATGACCTATGATTCTTTTTTTGTTAGAAAAGGGGTATCTCAGGAGCGCTCTCATATAAATTTAGTCAAGATCTGGTATTGGGATTTATGAAAAATCCGCAAATTCAATTTGTAATGGCATCTGCACGATTTTGAAGTCGGTTTTTTAACATTACTTTTACAACTAGTTTTGCATCTCTTTTATTTTTTTTTGCAAAGGAAGACATTTAATTTCTTATAAGAGCGATATCAGAGGAGACTTTAATTTCCAGAGATGAAATTTTAGAAGACATCTTTTCTTCTAAGGAAGAAACTTTATTATCTACGGAAAAGTTGTCAGAAACAACTTTAGTTCCTAAGGAAGAAACTTCATTATCTAATATAGAAATACCAGAAGAAACTTTGTATTTTATAAGGAAGAAATATCATTTTTTATAGAAGTAACATCAGAAGAAAGAAGAAATATCGACATTTTACTTTCCAAAGAAGAAATTATAGAAATTTTTTCGGATCCAATCCATCACTTTCTATTGCTTGTTTAAAAGTCGCTCTGCCAACTCTGCTTTCTTTTCTGTCTTCTTCAACCAACTCGAGATCTTCTAGTTTCCGATGTAACTCCGTCACTTGTAAATCACTAAGTTTTTTAGCCATTTTTATCCACTATTTATTTACAATATCTCAACCTCTGACACCAATGTTACGTTAATTTATTTTAATGGGTTTAATAATTATAATTTATATTTACTAAGTAATGGGTGTCCCAAAAGTTTTGGGAAAAAGTGAGTATTAAATCAAATTTATCTAGTTAGCCATGGTAATAAACGTTGCCCTGGGTTTTGTTTACTTGGTTGACAGCCAGGTTGCTATCTGTCTGTAGGCATAATGGCGTACAAAATTGAGATTCGAATATCTATTTATAATTTTGTTGACAGAATGCCAAAAAAAAGATATCGTTAATATTTTCCGGAATCAAAATATATCTAAAACAACCATTTACCGAACAATTTAAGAATGCGAACAAGGAATACCTTGTCTCAACTTACGAAAAGTGGCAGACCGGCAACGCTTACCGATGTCAGGGTGAACATGCAAAGGATATCATTGTAGTGTCAACTCGAAAGCTTTCCCAATGATTTCAGGTATCAAAATCGACAGTTTTTAGATATATTGCAAAAAAAGGCTTAAATTATAGAAAACGGACAAAATGTCCAAAGGAGGCCCAACTTCGAAGGATTCCTTATTGATGCCGCTTGTTACATCTTCGTCGTTTTGTGAACAACAGAAAGATTATACTGGATGACGAAAAATATTTTACATTTTCGCATGCCGACCTACTAGAAAACTCAGGTTTTTATACAGATAACATTGAAAATGCCCCCGAAAATGTAAAATACAAACCAAAGGTCAAGTTTGCGGAGAAACTGTTAATCTGGATTGCATTATCGGAAAATGGTTTGTCCAGGCCCTATGTAGGACGTGTTAGAGGCCCTGCAGTGGATCAAAATACTTACATTCAAAATTCCAACGGGTGTCCCAAAACTTTTGGGACACCCGTTACACAAACTTATTTAATAACTAATTTATTTGTAATCAAAATTACACTGATTTATATTTACTTTAACAAATTAACTTTACATATTTATCTCTAAAATAAACTCAAGCGACAAAAAGATTCATTTACATATAAAAATGTTCCGCCCTAGACAAATGCAGTCCAGTCTTGAAGAATATCGATGCTCTAGACGTTCTCGAAACCCTTCTTATACGAGTCGACTCACGTGCAAAATAACTTTCTCAGCGAACACAGGCGGGCAGTTCTTCAAATCTGTAATTAAAAGTCCGTTGTTTCTATTTCATTGGTAAAGTACTCAAATTGGGACCAAATTTTCTATTTTCTCCACTTATTGTGTCGGTGAAATGTACTATAGTATGTTGGCATTTAAAATTTCAAGACAGATACTGTTTTAAATAACATTTCTTACCACAATTTCGTATGTATTGTTACACTACACCCTGCAGTGGCCTGCGGACGTTATAGGAAATATAAAAAGAAGTGCAATGTCACCCATCACACTATAGTGTGCTGCGGTCGTTATAAGTAAAAGTACAAGTAAAAGAAGATGGAATAGTCCCGAAATGTCTGGAAATGTCATTACCCGTCAATAATATTCTAGATGACAGTTCGAGAAGGTTCGAGAAGGCAAGCAAGCTATATAAGGATGATTCTGACGTCAGTTTTCAGTTTTATGATAGACGTTACATGTTAATGTTATCAGTTGTATAATTGTTGTTAAAGTTGAGTTGAAATAAATTGCGATACCAAAAACCTGTGTAACATTGGTAACAGCAGTGGGATACAAAGTAGAAGTTCATGGTAAATACTAGATCCGCTGAGTACGAAGCAGGCATGTATACTTCAGGCCCACCAGCATTGTTTTTGAAGATGGAAGAGGAGAGAGAAAGGCGTAGAAAGGAAGAAGAGGAGGAAAAGGAAAGGCGAGAAGAGGAAAAGGAAAGGCGTAGGAAGGAAGAAGGGGAGGAAAACGAAAGGTGTAGAAAAGAAGAAGAGGAGGAAAAGGAAAGGCGTAGAAAGGAAGAAGAGGAGAAAAAGGAAAGGCGTAGGAAGGAAGAGGAAAAAGTGAAAAAGGAAAGGCGTAGGAAAGCAGAGGTAGAAATTTTAAATGGTTTGATACAAATTCAGGAAAATTTCAAGCAAGAGGTAGGTCAGCTTAACAGTCGAGTAGATATCTTGGCCCAACAACAAGAGAACTTAAAAAATAATTTGGAAAATTTACAAACTAATTTAGAAAAGAAACAAGAGAATTTAAAAACTAATTTAGAACAACAACAAGAAAATCTAAAAGCTTAGAGCAACAACATGAAACGACCTGTTATATCCCATCCATACTGAAAGGGAGATGAAACTTCCCCATGATCTTCTTTTTGGAAGGCAGTCTCCTGGTGAAAAAGAGATGCGTACTCCTCCCACGTACAAACAGAACTTAAAAGAAAGATTGGAGAAGGTATACGAATTCGCTCGTCAACGTTTGAAAGTTAATAGCGATAAAGCAAAAGGTAGAATCGACATGCATGCCACAGGGACACATTTTGAGAGAGGCGATCCAGTATGGCTGTACAATCCCAAGCGCCGAAAAGGACTTTGTCAGAAGCTGCAACGGAACTGGGAAGGCCCCTACACCGTCCTCAAGAAAATCAATGACCTGATCTACCGCATACAGTTGTCAACGAGAAGTAAACCCAAGGTAGTTCACATTGAAAAGTTAGCGCCATACCATGGTTCAGATCCTCCCCGTTGGCTCCAACCAGATCCCAGTAATCAAGTTATTCGAGACGAATAATTAGAGAAGAGGAAACAATGTTACACTATACCCTGCAGTGGCCTGCGGCCGTTATAGGAAACGTACAAATATGAAAAGAAGTGCAATGTCACCCATCACACTATAGTGTGCTGCGGTCACATACTTTGATTTTCTTTTACTATACGGCGAATGGTCGCTCTGCGCCTCAGAGTAAGTAAGTAGTAAAGAGAGGACAGTAAACAATGTTTGTGTCGCCATGATAATATGGTCGAGAATTCTAATTAGAGAGAAATAGATTAATATATCTATCTCTTTGTTTGTATTTGTCAGTTTTACAAAGCTTTTCTCAGATAATTATTGCAGTGTTTAATTTAAATTTGTTCGTGTTGTGGTTTTAAAAGTAATTGTTATTAATATTATATTCATAACAAAAAAGTCATATTTTGTTTTCACTTCATTAAAAATGCACCTACCTACCTTTTAAAACATTTTATTTTATATTCTACTTGGTCAACATTTTCGCATTTAAAATGACCCAGCGATATTGTTTTACGGTACGCTACTGCTGAGAATTCTAAAACGAGTGAGAAAGCCTTTATTAGAAAGAGAGATACTGATTATATGATAGCGACATTAATATTGCATAACTTTATGCAGTGGTGGCCTATCTGCTAATATATTATCTAAGCTCTGCGCAGCTTTCTGAGTGCCTTTTAAAAGAAGATAGAAAACTCCGCCATTTTGATCCCTTATTACGTGTTGCCTACATCTTGGCGCAATATTTTTAATAGGTGCGTTTTAATCATCCGCTTCTGCTTCGGAATTGTCGGTTTTCTTGTTTTAATCTGACAGGTTAAAACGACTAAACCGACAATTCCGGAAGCAGAAGTGGATGATTAAAACGCACCTGATATTTTGCTTGCTGCTGTCAGTGTCAGTGAATATTATTTTTGGAGTCACAGTTTATTTCTAAAGAATCAGTTAGCTCACTCGGACCAGTTGAAAGTTCCAAAATAACATCCACTCCAGGGATACAAATTCAGGATACGCAGAAGACTGCTGTTTTATTATAGGCGGTTGTTATATATTGTATTATCCGAGTTGCGCAGTGTATAAACTGGAACATTGAGAACAAAGGTGCCGACGCAGAGTGAGCGATCTGATTTTTTAGCTATAAACTGTGGCATAGGAATCAAAATGGCCGCGCCCTATGTTGGGCGTGTCGAACCTCTCTCTTGCACCGTATAGTAATCAAAGTATGTGGCTGCGGTCGTTATAAGTAAAAGTACAAGTAAAAGAAGATAGTACCGAAATGTCTGGAAATGTCATTACCCGTCAAGAATATTCTAGATGACAGTTCGAGAAGGTTCGAGAAGGCAAGCAAGCTATATAAGGATGATCCTGACGTCAGTTTTCAGTTTTATGATAGACGTTACATGTTAATGTTATCAGTTGTATAATTGTTGTTAAAGTTGAGTTGAAATAAATTGCGATACCAAAAAGCTGTGTAACAGGGATCTTCCGATACAAACGATACAATACCAGTATCGATAATTTTCTTTCGATACTTCGATATTTTGTATCGATACCAGTCCATGGCGATGACATACCAGTATCGATATTTTCTTCGGATTCTAGTATCGATACTTTTCTTTCGGTACTGTATGTATGGCGGCAACTACGATCAAGACGACAAACCCAGATGCTTTTAATATGATGTGAAAATAGGGAATACCCCGACTAGCACATGCGAAAGAGAAACTAGAAACCACAAAATTTCAAATTAATTCTTATGAATGAACATTTATTTGTTTAATTGACGGCCATTTGAACCGACTTTTTATTTAAGATTCCTTAAGGTTCCTTAAATATTTAAGGAATCCCTAAAATTATGTAATTTGCACCATTTAGATTTTAGACCGCCTTACCGAAGAAAGTTTAGTTATTCTTCTCATCGATAAGTGGTCTTGTTCTTAATCGAAAACCAATTAATTGTATCGAAATTTTGATATATTGATAATAAATACAGAAAAAGAAGATAAAGTTAACCCATACTATACTTAGAAAAATAAAAAAAGAACCCCGGTGAATGACGTCTTTCATCGTGAAAAAAAACTAAACTGTAAAACTGTAGTGTTAACTTTTACGAGAAATCTAACTGATTGGAAAAAAAGAATATATAGAATATCGAAATAGATTGAACAAAATAATTAAAAACACAAAAAACTCATATTATTCAAAAAAAAAAATAATCTGTGATATTTTCAATTTGTTCCAGAACTTGCATTACAGTTTCTTTATACAATCTAAACCTTTTAAAGAAGATCAAATTATCCATTTCGTCGAAATAATTAGTTCTATTATACAACCTTCTTGGAAACCCAAAATCAGCAATTTCAATTATTTCCAGTTCATCATTAAATATAAAATTATCCTCGGGATCCATATTTTTGTCATAATTATAAAAAATATCAATGTGAAAGTAGGTAAGGAATGTTTAAGTCTCAAAATTTGACGGTTTTATTAAGAATAGTTTAAGTGTTTCAAAAGGGCTACTTAACTGACGGTGTAATGAAAGTATGTCACTTAAATCTTACTTAACTTTAAGTAATCCTTAAATACGTCGGTGCAAACGGCCGTAAAGAACCAAAAAACAAAGTAGGATTTATTTTAATTAATTTAAGTGGTTTATACACATTGGCTGCATGATCGCAATTTTTTGTTGGTACTCTTAACAAGAAATGTCGCCTTTAAGAAGCAAAGCACGGAAGGAATATTTTCTATTGGTTTTAATTTGTTTAATTAATATAAGGATATTATACATATTTGACTGTATGATCGTTTTTTTTTATTGATACTTATAAATATCGATAATATTCTTACGATACGATATCGGTATCGATACATTTCTTTCAATACTTTCGATACTTTTTGTTTAATACTAGTATCGATACTTTCTTGATATCGCATATTTATACCTACTAAAGATACGCTGGCTCCAACTGTATTTTATCTATTTTCCTAGAGAAGCATCACTAAACACCTAATTTTATTGTAGTTGATTGAAAACAGTGTAAGATTTTGGACTTTACCAAGGAACGAAATTGTTTATTCCCATGGAGACCCTACTCGTCGAATGTTCGTCATAAAAAAGGGCTACTGCGATATCTACGACGTAGAAAATGCTTTCGAAAAAACTCTTGGTCCAGGTTCTGAGCTAGGTATACTCGAAATGATTTATTGTCTTTCGAAAAAGCACACGGTCGTAACTAAAACCGATTGCGTTTTGTTCTATTTGGATTATTTCGTGTTGGATAACATTCTAAAATTATTTCCAAAAGAATTTAGTACTCTAGAAAGCGTTATGTTTCAAAAAGAACTTCTGGAATACGTTGCAGGGTTAGAACTGACCGAAGATACGTATGAAAATATCGATACTAAGGATCCAACTGATAAAGAAGAGTAAATATTCCTATTGAGTAATTACTTTATCAAATTTATTTATTTATTTATTTCAGAAAAGATTTCATTAACATATCAAAGAATTGGCCACATTATTGTGATATCTATAGACAAAGACTTAGTGTGTTTTGGATTTTTGGTCTCTTTTTGCTACCAGTAGCGGTGTACCCAGAAAGTTTCGCACTCAAAACGTGGTGCATCATTAGAGCCTGCTTTATATTTCTACAAACGGTTATTCATGTCATATTAACTCTAACACCGCCTTTTGCTGAAGATTTAAGCTGGATCGCTTGGGTTTGTCAAGGTACTTTGTACCTTGATATGTATGTAAGTCTTCATATTGGATATTACGAACAAGGTGGGACATTGAAGGTTCATCCATTTTACACAGCTCGGTAAGTTGTTCTCATTCTCTATAGGTCATATCATTTCCATGATTAGAATATACTGTACACTGAGTGTTGTAAATTAATTAAAAGTATTATTGCGCTAGTCCTGGCTAGTGCTTCTCTAATTTGTGTACTTTATTGGACTTATTAAGATAAAACAAAGCTTAATTTTTTTTCAATGCCCGTGTCGAAAAAATTCTGAAGTAGTCACTATTAGAAACAATGGTAATACCGAATGGTTCAGAAGATATGACCAAGCTTATTTTTCTAAAATTTGGGGTGTTTATACTAGAATAGTTTTCCAATTAAGTTACTTAGAAACCCAAGATGTCCGTTGTTCGGATTTAGTGTTTTTTAAATTATTGCTCTGAATTATTTTAGGAATTATCTTACTCATGGATTTCTTCTGGATCTGATAGCAGCTGTACCCTGGCAATACTTCGTGGTCGAACCCGACAATTTAGCCTTCCATTTCAACTACTGTTTTTGGGATTTAGTCAAATTGGTACAATTCTACAAAGTTATCAAATGCATTAACTATTTCGAAGAAACCTACTTTGAGCTAACGAACATTTTAAACGTTTTGAAATGTTTGTCTTTCACAGTTTTGTCTGCTAATATTTTAACTAGTGTTTGTTTAGTCTATATTTATCAAGAGTTAAATGTTACGAGTAACGGATTAGAAAGTAAAAAAGATTTTAGTCGAGCAGATTGGATGCTTAAGAAAACAGGTACGAGTAATTAGTTCATAAGCTGAACCTTAATGCCTTAAATGATTAGGTAGATTAAAATCTTAGATAAAAGAGACCAGAGATGTAACATTGCACATTGCGCACGTTGTCTATTCCAACCCTAAGTAACCCACCAATTAAAAATCATTGTGTTCACGACGCCACCCGAATTGCTCCGAAATTTCTATTCTACGCTCGTCTCCGCGTGAGTAAATCATTTATGGACCGCCGTTTTTGAATTATTTGTTGGTGTTATTAGCAATTTAAAGTGTTTTAGTTATTCAATTTCAAGTTGAAAATGCCACGATGTATGGTGAAAAATTGTATATACAAATAATATAAGTGTCAATGTTATGAAAAATAAGAAATATATTCGTTTTCAGCGGTAAATATTTGTTGACGTTTTGACATTAAGTCGCCATGGTCCTTTGAGCAGAGATAAGGGAGATAAAGATAGGAAACGCCCATAAGAAGCCAATGCTTAACAACGACCAGCTTTATCGTAGTTAACATCTGACCCACTATGTAGCGCTTTCATCGATATCAAACAACGCAGCGGGAAATTTAAAAACCTGAAAATAAAGGTTATATAAATATCGAGTGCACTCTCATGTTCTTTTAAATAAATTTAAACAATGTAATTACGCTAAACTATTTATTAAAAAGAATACTACACTTACAGTCTATTATCGATTAATTATTGTAAATCTATATTCATGACAAATATTTTTAATTTTTGATTGTTATTTGTAACATTGCATTTTTGTTATTATTTTCCAAACAAATGGCCAATGATTTAAAAATGTTGAGTGCAAATTCAATAATGAGAATTTAGATATTTTTCGTCCTATATCAAATCTTCTTTCTAACGTTTTGAAGCCATTTTCTTGTTCTTAAACAATAAATAATACATAAATACCTACTTTGTGACAATTACTTTTTGTGTTACTTACATGAATAGATCTTACGTACTTTGGTTAATTAAAGAACGCCACATTGGGGTTGTTAAATTTGTTCATGTGGCATGTGTTACTAATGCAATACGTTCCCCGACCAATTGTAATATTACAAAATATAATTATTGTCCTTAAATTTCACACAAAAACTGCCACAACTATTTTGCTTAGTTCATCTAGAGGATAATACAATCATGAACTCAAAATTTAAAATTTAAATTCAGGATTCTTCGACATACATAAAACTAACTGACATTTATATTTACAAACTGTCCACTGCTGTCCACTTCTACCCCAGTGTAAGTAATAATACAGTAGCGACAGTTCATTGTTTATGAGGGGTCCATATTTTTCTGCGCATGTCCGTAAATAAGCGGCAAATACGTCAAACTGACATATGAATTGTCAATGGATTAATGGTAGTTGATTGTTTTGATTACCTGATTGGTTGTAATGCACATTTTAATACATTTTTATTATATTTAGACTTAGTTTTCATCTTTCATTTAGTGTGTGATATTTAATTCAAACAGACAAAGGGACAAGATATTTAAAAGTTACTTATTTCAGTGTAGAAATAAGCGGCAAAAACGACAACTGTCAATAAAAATTTGACCACCCCGACATCAAAGGAGCCGACTCAAGCTGTCGCTACTGTATTATTAATTATACTGGGCTTCTACTGTCTGTCTCAGTGTTGTCAACCGTACGATTTAAATTGTATTTATACGATTTTTTAACTCTCTGTACGATGTACGATTGCATCAGTGAGATCGTACCACAGACCTTGATCGTACCTACGTAAAAATATTTAAATATCTGCAACAACTTCAGAACATAAAACAATAAAACTCAAAAACTACTTGCAAAGATTCATAGGCCGTTTGTAATTTCTGCAAGCAGTCATTTTCGTTCTGACATCGTGATTTAAATCATGGTGATTTTGTACACCGACTATCACGGCATAAGAAAAGCTAGCATACAAAATTTCAATCACTTTCAAGTGACAGTCATTGATTACTTTAAATGTATTAATTTAAAATTTCATGTATTTTCTTTAGTTTTTTTTTCGTTGTAAACATTTTTATAAATAGATAAATAAATTATCATGCCAAAGTTTTTTTTGTCATTCCATTTAAGTTATATTATGCTATGCATGTATCTATTGTACATTTTTTTTGTCGAAATACCATTTTTCTACTATACTTGTACGATCTCTGAAAAAAAATATTTGGCAACACTGGTCTCTCTACAAACGATGTAGACCTGTAGTTAACATCTGAGACGCTAGATGACACCACCGTTGCTGCGGTCGTTGCGTTTCCAATCTTTATGTCCCTAATCTCTGTCTTTGAGCTAAATACTTCAGATCCGCAATAAGGGGTTTCAATAAATAGTAAGCATCAAATACATTATATTTCAGAAAATAGATTTCATAATGCGTTAATTTACAAAAGACATTTAATCTAAATAAGATGTAAATAGGCATTGTTACTAACGAAATTTTGTTTTTAAAAAGTAGTTTTAAAAGAATATTTACTAAAGGTGGTTTTTAGTCCTTTATTAAGTCTTTTTACAAGAATATTAGATGAAATACAGGTTCACCTACTTAAAATTTCAAGGTTCATTTTATTTGCGATTAAATCGGAAGTGACATTTGAATCTCAAGTCTTAAAACAAAGTAAAACGCGCAATATGATCTAGTATAAGCAAAAAAATGCTAAAGTTACGGAAATTAGTCATATTATTAGTAAAATGTTACATTATAAACCCCTAAACAACTCGAAAAAAATCTTCGTTTAGTAAAAAAATCTAAATTCTAGCAATATTTATTATACAATCGAATGCGGTTTCAAAGATAACAGGATCAATAAATCCGAATCTCTAAATTTTGGAGCTAAATGCTCGGATAAAAGCATGCGACCGATAGGGGTTACAAAAATAATCGATTTATCGTTTTCATGAAAATCGATTTATCCGTTATAATTAATCGATTATTTTTAATCGGTTATTTTCGATTAATCGAACATTTTCAATAAATTATTTTCGTTTTTTTAGGTAATGGAATAATCGATTACAAAGGAATTACAAAAAGAAAGTAGATTTATTCAAAACATTCAATTGATTGAAAATAATCGTTTTTTTTAGAAAAATCGATTTATTATTTAATCGACTTTTTAAATTAATCGATTATTTTCGATTTACCGATTATTTTCGATTAATCGATTATTTTCAATTTTTCAAAGGTATTCGAATAATTTGTTTTAAAATACAAAAAGATTATATAAAAATAATCGATTGATCGAATATAATCGGTTATTTTATATAATCGATATTTCAGTTATTTTTTAGAATTATCGATTTATCGGTCAATCAGCTTTTTATTAATCTATTATTTTCGATTTTTCAAAGAAATTTAAATAATCAATTTTAAAAGAAATATAAAAAAAGAAAAGTATTATTTGAAAATACTCAATAATTCAATTATATTTTTTTTGAAAATCAATTTATCGTAGAATCGCTCCTTAATTAATTGGTTATTTTCGCTCAATCGGTTATTTTCAATTACCCGAATATTTTCGATTAATCGATTATTTTCAATTTTTCAAAGGTATTCGAATAATTTGTTTTAAAAGAAATACGAAAAAATGGATTATATGAAAATAATCGATTGATCGAATATAATCGGTTATTTTATATAATAGATATTTCGGTTATTTTTTAGAATTATCGATTTATCGGTCAATCAGCTTTTTATTAATCGATTATTTTCGATTTTTCAAAGATAATCAAATAATCAATTTTAAAATAAATATGAAAACAAAAGGATTATTTGAAAATAATCGATAATTCAGTTATTTTTTGGAAAATCGATTTATCGTAGAATTGGCTTCTTAATTAATTGGTTATTTTCCCTTAATCGATTATTTTCGATTAAGCGATTATTTTCGATGTTTCAAAAATGATCGAATAATTGATTTTAAAGGAAATAATTCTTTTTTTTGAAAAATCGATTTATCGGTTATTCGATTTTTTAATTAATCGATTATTTTTGATTAATCATTTATTTTCGATTTTTCAAAGATTATCGAAAAATCTGTTTCAATGGAAATACGAAAAAAAAAATTGATTTTTTAAAAATAATCGATTATTTAAAATAAACGATAATTCGTTTATTATTTTTTGTAAACACTGATTTATCGGTTAATTGACTTTTTAATTAATCTATTATTTTTGATTTTTTAAAGATAATCAAGTAGTCGATTTTAAGGGAAATACGAACAAAAATAGATTGTTTGAAAATAATCGATTGATCGAAAATAATCGATTATTATTAATGATCAAAATTTATTTCGATAATCACCCACTCCTAGCGACCAAATGACTTTTAATAGGTTTAAATTTTAAAATGTTATCTGGTTTCAGACATATGCATTTCTAGAGTTTTATGTGACTCATCCTCCATATTAATTAATATTCCTAAAGAAACAAGCTTTAATATACCTTTTTCGGAGGGTATAATACATAACAGCATTTTCACATTTTGACTAATTTTTAATATTATGTGATAGTCGTAGAAAAAATATAATGTTCAACTCACAAGGTTTGATTTGCAGTATTCGCTTGCGCACATGCAATTTTTATAATACTCTTAGACAATGAGTACCATTTCTTACTCGATTAACAATATTTTATTTCAACATTTTACTGTAGCCTCTTACAGAAAAGTCCGTAGTAAATAAACGTTAACGAAATATTCTATAAAAGGTCTTCTCTTTACATAAAATGTCGTGGCATCTGTTTGATATTAAAAAATCACGTTAAATTTATTTCATAATACAAAATTCCATTAAACGTATATTTTAAATAAATCCAATAGTTGTAATGTGATCTTATTATTTTATCAATTTTTATAGTGTTTTAAGCTCTACGATTTTAGGGAGTGGGTTAGGTTATTAAACAACTCATATGACTTTGAAAGAGAATATTGGACGCCACTATATTTAAAACTTTCTAAACTTGACAATCTATCAGTGATGAAAATATAGAAAATCACTGATCTTTATGATACTATAAATGAATAAGGTAGCGACAAATTCTAATTCACAGAGACTTAATTATTCAAATTTAAATGATTTATTATAACTTATCTGGAGGTATACAGGAAACAGTTAAGGAGTGACTGTAGAGGCCTTCTTGTGAGAATTTACTAGGTAGTGTTAAATCTTGTGAACTCCTCTCGGTGGTTGAACTAACTTCTTGATGTATTCTACGTTCTTCCGAATTTCTTAACATGCAGATTGTACGTTCTTCCAAAATTCATGTAGATACAGCTACTATTGAATCCTCGATATAGTTTCTATCGAACTATCTAAATCTACTGCAACCATCTATATAATTTCTTTAGGATTTCTTTAAGACCATAAGACCATCTATATACAGCAAGGCTACAAGGAAAAAGGTAAAAATATAAAGGAAGGAGCCGGAAAGAGTATATAGGAACAGATAAGATGCTTTTTACTATCAAATGAACAAATTAAACTATTATTTGAATAGTTACACAGAGATTAGAATTTAATAGGAAAAGAAAAAGTCTTATTTAACATATATAAATATAGTAAAGCATATTATCTATTTCAAACAAAATAATATAGGAAATTATATAAAACATATGATTTCTTGTGTTTTTTAATGTGTTTTCATGTTGTTATGTTTCAAATTTGACATTTTAAATTCAAATCTTGTACTAAATATATATTTTCAACAAAATATCAGTAGGAAACTTACCTTTTTAAAATCAGATGGTCATTAAAAATATTTAAGATAACTAGTACATCGGATGTCCCAGATAAGAGATAATTAAAATTCTATAATCAAGTTGAAAATGACAATCCAAGTTTTGACACTAGACATAAACGACAAATGACGTTTGTGTAGAGATGTTGGTTTCAAAATAACGAAAACGGGTCTGGGTCAAATAACGAAAACTGTTCCAACCGTTACATAGTTCATTATGATGCTAATAAACAAAGTCCGGTCCCTGTCACAGAGTTCCGGTCCCTGCCCAGTTCCCCCACTCCGTTAACCTTCCTTTAGAAATTACAGAGCGAAAGGTGGAACATTCTATAAGAAAACTGTTGTTAAAGAACATATAGTATTAGGCGCAGAACCTGGTTCAAAATACATCGATCATGTAACACCAATTGCGGCAATGAATATTAAAAAAAATCGTGAAATTTTTAAATGAAAATATAGACTAATCCGATTTGACTGTAGTAGGATCGGATAGCACTGTAGTAAATACTGGCTCAAAAAATGGGGCTATTTTGCAGTTCAGCGTCCACTTCACTGATTCGTCTACCTGTTTCATTGAAACGAGTTGCCATTAAGACATTTATTACAAAATCTAGATGGACATATGACTGGGTTATATGGTTTTTCGAGACTCATTGGGAAATCACTGGAGACGTGTGAAAACTTTGTAACTTTCGTCCAGTACGAAGTGAAAATATACCAGTCCAGAAATGCTTGTGGGAAATTTGTCAAGCTATTGCTTCTGGTACCTGCAAAGAAAGTTTATCTCGAAGAGATCCAGCTCGTTGGATTGCAGCAGCTAACCGAATCTTAAGGCTTTACGTTTCAACTAAGAAAGTTTCAACACTTTGTGCGAATATGTAATAATGGTTTACATGCCTTTCTGGTTTAATATTAAACTAAAACCATCATGTAAAGATAGACCTCGGCATCTGTTAAATATGATCAAATGATCCAGAAATTTTGATAAAAATGTTTTGTCTATAGTTGATCCTGTCATTCCAAAAAAATAGTTTTTATGCATAACCAGAAAATATTCTACTCTTAATGGTAACAGAAGTGTCGAAAAATATAAAGAAACTCAAAAATCCGTTTAATAGAAAATTATAATGTATTAAAGTACCAAAGATAAACATGGGTGCTAACGATTTTATTAACCTCATTGATTGGCAATTTTTAAAATGAAATTAACAGATTCTCCTTTACTTTACAATTTTTTTTTTAAAACTGAAATAAATTCTCAAGCGGTGGAGAGAAGCGTAGTCACTAAAGCATCAGTAGCAGTTTGTAGACGATAAAAAAACAAAGATGGTTTAACACCAAAAGAGAGTATTCATATAATATTGAATACAAGTGAGTAATAATTAAGACTTAAAATACGGGTCGAGGGAGGTAGGAGAACCAGGGCCACCAAAGAAACTTAAAAAAAAAACTTCATCTCGAAAAACATATTTTCTCCCTACAATTAGTTCTTCTTCTAAAAAAAAAAGGTAGGTCCTCACCTCAAAACTAAATTCCATCCTTACCTCAATTGCTTCTACTTCTAAAAAAAAAAGAGGTCCTCATCTACAAAAAAAAATTTTCTTCCTACTTCAATTACTTCTTCTAAAAAGAAAAAAAATACCTCAACCACAAAAAAACCCTCTAGGCTAATAAGCTAAAACTTTTCCCACCTCCCCTTTCTCTTATGTCTCATTTCTCATGCAGAAACAGATAACCCTTTTGTCGGGCCCCCCTTATAGCGCTGCCGAGCCCCCCTTATAGCGCTGCCGGGTCCCCATTTGAGTCCGGGCCCCGGGAATTAGTCCCGGCTACCCTCCCCCCTCTAGTCGGGTCTGAGGAGAATTCGACTCCACGTGGTGAGTTCTGGGTAGTCTTTCGTTTGGTTCAAACTAAAGACAAGCTAAGAGGTGCCAAAAAATTAATAAAATCAAAATTTTATCCCCAAAGCACCCCTGAATATCATTATAGAGATCTAAGATTTTTGTAGAATCTTTTAAGCTTCCGAAGGCAACATTTTTGCACTAGCTTGTTACAATTTTTGTAAATTAAAAAAATATATAATAATTTAAAAAATTAAAGAATAAAAATTTCAAGACTCCAGGGGCACCTCTAAATATTATTGTAAAAATTTAAGATTTTTGTGCCACCCCATACACCCCCAAAGGCAAGTATTCCGTACTAGCGCGTTACAATATTTCAAAATTTATAAAAATCTTTTAAATTAGCTCCACCCTACTACACACCAGTAATATACCTAACCTTGAGCACTACAGCATAATACTAGCTGCAACGAAGAAACTACTAGAAAAATGGATAATTCTATTAACTAGATCTGTGACTGGACTAAAAGGTGACGCACCAAATTGATTGAAAACGTACATTTTACAAATACACACAAATAACATAGTCAGTCCAATCAGAGTAAACGATCCCATTTGATGATTCAACAAAATACCTGGGCATGACTTAAGTACACTAGTTCCACAAAAGGAAAAGAGTTAAAATTAAATAAAGAAAAATATACTGGCTGTTAAGAAGAATTTCCAAGCTCTATAGAAAGATGTAACAAATTGCTTATCTACTAGCAAATACTAAAACCTGTCTGGACATATGGCATCCATCTTTGGGGCTGTGCCAGCAAAAACAACAACAAAGTTATTCAACAAAAAACAAGGTACTAAGGAACATAGTAAATGAATTCCTGTACTGTCGCAATTATTATCTTCACCAGTATCTAAGAATGGATTTAATTCAAGAAACTATCACCAAGTTTGCCAAAAGTCATGCACAAAGACTTCTGGCAACGTCCAAACATAGTAAAACTTGTATACCTTCCTCACTTGCACCAAACTACAAAGAGAGCAAAAATAGAGGGACATGTCTTACTTTTTGTAATAACAGGAGGGAATATACTTATTTTATGATCCGATGGTCTCCAATCCATGAATTGCCTGTTCCATGTATTATCTTTTGTCTGACATTATAACCTGCAAACTTTGTTGGGCTATTTATCTTGTAGCGAACCTTAGTTATTTAAAAAAAAAATGGAATAACGTGTTTTTAACTGTTGGTATTCATCAGTACGGTGCAGCCAAGTTCAAAACAAACAGTAGAAAATCACTCATTCGTAACCATACATTTGTGGCTTTGGCCAACATGCACACGATTCTGTGGGAAAATAACAACGGAGGCAATTATAGCCACTATGGTGATGCGTCCTAGCCTAAGAAAACTGACTAAGAGAAGAAGCTTTAGTGTAGCGAAGAACGGGCATGTTCCGAAAATAAAAAAGAGAGTATTTTTTTCACTTGCTTAGTTATATTTCTAAAATGTTTGTTTTCTATTCTCTCTCTTAGACTAATATCTATTATCTTCCTTTCCATTACTTTTAATGTTTTATAATTTAGTGCATATTAATTTTGGTTTATCTCCAGATCTGCTCTCTATAAGGGGGAACTGTGGGTATTTTCTACTTTTTAGGATGTAGCTTAGCTTTGTGAATGATACCCACGACAGTGTAGTTTGAGTACTTGGTGAAGTACATGTATAAATAATCTAGATAAAACGAAATATTATTATTGCAGATTTAATAGAAATGTACATAACTAGTCTATTTACCATAATTGATTGGTTCACGAGTACAGGTATTGTAAGCTTTAGACCAATGCAAATAGCTACAAAAATGGCAGCTATTTTCACAACTCTATTTGGATTTTTTGTATTTACTTTGCTGACAAGTATAATTTCTAAATTAATGTTGGCAGACGCTGAAGAGACTATTAATTTTAGAGACAATATTTCCCAACTGTTTAAATTTTTGGATAGAAACAATATTAATAGCAATTTAAAACAAAAGGTAATTTTCAGAAATCGTTGGTATACCTTGTTATGTACCATGTTTTATTTTTGTAGATTTTAGGACATTTCACACTAATTTGGGACAGAACCAAAGGTTTCGATATAGATTCCAAGGCATATACAGATAATTATTTTCGAGACAAGCTCTTAATCAATTATCATGAAGAACTTTTTTACGGTGTACCTTTGTTGTATCATTTTGATACCAGCTATATGAAACTCGTTCTTAGTCAGATACAAATTCGACACTATCAAAAAGGTATATCTACATATTATATTCTAGAAACAAAAATTGCTGGGACGAAGAGCTAATCCTAAAACATATAGAAAATGGATTTCAAATAAGCTAGAAGTCTATATTTATTGATCTAACTTCTTACTTCAATCTATATTACGGTCGGGGCTTGTGTTCGCCCACACTTCGTCGGGAAGTGTGGGCGAGGTTAGACTCAAATCCTGTTATATTATGTTCTCGAAATTCAGGTGCCCTACGAATGTCGTTCTTCAGCATCATTCGCATTATTACTATAAAAATCCTGACTTCATATTAAATAATTTCTAGGTGAAGTAATAGTGAACTACAAAGATGTACTTTCCGATATATACATAGTCAGTTCTGGACAAGTAGAAATATTCAATAAAACAAATGAGCCGTTGTGTCTGCTTGGTCCAGCTGCCGTTTTTGGCAACCTCCGCAAAAACGTTCATGGTCTCAGCAAAGTTTACGTAACGGCTAGAAGAAATGTAGAAATATGGCTACTGAATACCCAGTCGTTCTTTAATACCGTCAAATATTACCCACTTATCGTTCAAGAATTGGAAAATTTGCTGAAAGGAAAACCAGCTTATTTAGCGCCCGTGGTTACTAGTAATTTTTTTATTTTTAGTGAGTATAATTCAAGGGGTAGAGTTTTTTCGTAATCTTGTAATAACAACTATTTTTAAGGTAGGACGAAAGGTATACTGGATGACTTAGAATCAGACGAAGAGGAAATTGACAAAAAAGCATCTAGTACGACTTGTAATGATAACAAATCACCTAATAAATGGACAAAATTTACTTTAAAACCAGACCATACTATTTTCATAGTAAGTTTGATTCAAAATGAAGAGGTTCCATCTAGTTTTCTAACTGGGTACTACAAGCGACCTTTGATTTTGCGCTATTCGCTTCGTGCGTGACAGCAGCGCTAATACATTAGGTACTAATGGACTATTTCTGTGTATACTGACAATTTTTAATAGAATTCGTAATTAAAAAGTATATATGTTAGTTTTAATAAAAGTATATGGATTTATAAAACAAGTAAAACATTAATTTATTATTATTACATATTTTTATTGCTTCAATTAAAAAAATAAGTATAATCAATAAAAATCAATAATAAAATATAGACAGGTAACAGTATTTACGGGAACCTCCCAACGAGCTAATGTATGAGAAGTTGCCTGAGTCTAATAAGTTGTCTTTGAAGAATTAATCTATTCTGTCAAAATAAAAAATACCATTAAATAATAGCGTGAAGTTAAAATGTATAAACAGAAGGATTGTAATTTATATTTTCATTTTTGTTTAAAAGTAAACAGAATGACTAATTAAAACTGGTTTCGTATCAGTAAGTCACAAAATTGCATTCCAATCACATAAAATAATCAAAGGCAGACATCTTGAAATCTAGTCCTTGCTGAACATTTAAGAATAAAGGGATGTTGAAAAACATCGTAAAATGATAGTTTATTGTTTATTTAAAACATTTCAAGTTTGTGATGTCTACTATTTTCAGTATTACTGTTATTATTTCCAAAATACAGATAATTTTTCTTCTTATTGTACACCTATCCATTTATTTCTTTGATTTAATTTCCACTTTACTATTGAACATTTTTATAATTTTCACTGTTTTTTTGCTAGTATTTTTACAATTTTCAACACAGCAATTCCGATTGCTTATTGTATTATTTTTACTTACTTTTTTGAAAATAAAAGTAAAATGTATACGTGTATTTGATATACAAAAATTACAAAATATCGCCCTAAAATGCACGAATTATCCGCAGTTAGCTCTAGTAATGCTTTTGCTTTCCCTACCATGACTTCGCACTGAGCGAATAAGAATAGATAACGACACCATTTTTACTACTTCGATACTCTTCTCTTCGTAACCAATATTAATGTATACTAGTGAATATGTTGCTTTCATTTATTACATTAGAGACTGCAATTGAGATCCATCTATTTCATGCTGAAGAGTACTAATAAGGAGGAAACTGGTCCATGAATTATGTTCTCCTTAGTAAGCAAAATCAAAGGTTAAAATTTAATTTCTATCGCTTCTCTTTCCTTTGGATATAATTTAATACCTGTTGGGGTATTAGCCAAAGCAGTAGTTGTTTCCGAGGAAAAACGGTTGCTCCTATTTTGTGACATATAGCATTGCGTTTTATTTATTTTATTTTACGTCTTGGTCACATTTGAGTTGGAATTATTTTCCTCCTTCAAATGAAGAATCTTCAGTGTTTTCATTAACCTCTTCACAGGGATTCAATATATGTATCTTATTATTCCTGATTTATTTTAGCATTTAGCATTATTTTCCAATTATTTTACCATAATTTTACCATAATTTTACCATTATTTTACCATCATTTTACCATTATTTTACCATTATTTTACCATTATTTTACCAATATTCTACCATTATTTTACCATTAGTTTACCATTATTTTACCATTATTTTACCATTATTTTACCATTATTTTACCATTATTTTACCATTATTTTACCATTATTTTACCATTATTTTAACATTATTTTACCATTATTTTACCATTATTTTACCATTATTTTACCATTATTTTACCATTATTTTACCATTATTTTACCATTATTTTATTATTATTTTATTAATATTTTATTATTATTTTATTATTATTTTATTATTATTTTATTATTATTTTATTATTATTTTATTATTATTTTATTATTATTTTATTATTATTTTATTATTATTTTACCATTATTTTTCCATTATTTTACCATTATTTTACCATTATTTTACCATTATTTTACCATTATTTTACCATTATTTTACCATTATTTTACCATTATTTTACCATTATTTTACCATTATTTTACCATTATTTTACCATTATTTTACCATTATTTTACCATTATTTTACCATTATTTTACCATTATTTTACCATTATTTTACCATTATTTTACCATTATTTTACCATTATTTTACCATTATTTTACCATTATTTTACCATTATTTTACCATTATTTTACCATTATTTTACCATTATTTTACCATTATTTTACCATTATTTTACCATTATTTTACCATTATTTTACCATTATTTTACCATTATTTTACCATTATTTTACCATTATTTTACCATTATTTTACCATTATTTTACCATTATTTTACCATTATTTTACCATTATTTTACCATTATTTTACCATTATTTTACCATTATTTTACCATTATTTTACCATTATTTTATCATTATTTTACCATTATTTTACCATTATTTTACCATTATTTTATCATTATTTTACCATTATTTTACCATTATTTTACCATTATTTTACCATTATTTTACCATTATTTTACCATTATTTTACCATTATTTTACCATTATTTTACCATTATTTTACCATTATTTTACCTTTATTTTACCATTATTTTACCATTATTTTACCATTATTTTACCATTATTTTACCATTATTTTACCATTATTTTACCATTATTTTACCATTATTTTACCATTATTTTACCATTATTTTACCATTATTTTACCATTATTTTACCATTATTTTACCATTATTTTACCATTATTTTACCATTATTTTACCATTATTTTACCATTATTTTACCATTATTTTACCATTATTTTACCATTATTTTACCATTATTTTACCATTATTTTACCATTATTTTACCATTATTTTACCATTATTTTACCATTATTTTATCATTATTTTATCATTATTTTATCATTATTTTACCATTATTTTATCATTATTTTACTATTTGTAGGTTTTGGATTTTTTAACATTCACATCAAGTTTAATCAATATTTTCCTAATACCATTCGTCTTCGTTACTCAAGAAGATCATTATTTATGTTATCTATATTTATGTTTGGAGCCAGTTTACTACATACGAATTTTTTTCAAGTTACACCAGTCCTATACCAATCTATATGGAAATGTCATAAAATCTCATCGCAAACTTTGCAAAAAATATTTGAACACTCCAGGACAGTGCGTTTGGGATATTGTACCGAATTTACCCGTGACTTTAATATGTTTTTGTTTTGGACACGAAGAACAGTTCTTTTCTTATACGTGCTTGAGGATGTTTCATCTTTTACGGTTTTACTATGTTGTAGAGTATTTTCAGAAGGTATTTATTAACAGATTGCCGTTTTTGATATTGAAGCAATAATATTATAAATGAGATAACATTTAGAGAATTCTGATTTTTCAAATAACTAGAAGGCATTTTGATATAAGTTTCATTTTTAAAAATCTGACCTATAAATTTATATTTTTAGAATATTAATAGACTTTGGAGAAAAAATTGGTGGTATTTCGTGAAAATTGTAATTTATTATATGATTTTGATTCATATTTTGGCTTGCATATGGTTTATGATAGCCTGTCCATTTAACAAATGTATTACCGGAACTTGGATATCACAATTTAGGTAGGTTTAAAAAACTGATTGCTCAAATATCTTAAAAAGCTACTTTTTTGCTTGCAAATGTACATTATTGGCATAAAAAGTATCATATTTGATATATGCCATTCTCGTTAAACTGGCTCATTTAAAATTGACATTAATTCAATATGCTACAAAGTTTGCAGAGTTGTTTGGAAGCAGCAACAACGTGCAATAAAAATATTAAGGGTCTAAATCTGAATGTTAGGCATATTTAGATTTTTACCTACAACTAACAACCTATTGAAGATAATAATATCAACAGAATATGTTTTAACTCGTTGAGTGCATTAACTGATGTGATTATCTATAGTCTCGATATCAAAGGTTGTATTCAATAGATTATATCACGAATTATAGTTACATTATTAAAGCAATGTCAAAACATGTCAAGCATGTCTAATAGATGTTTATACCCGTAATGTACTAAGTAAGTTGTTAGCTATTAGTCAAGTAGGTACCTGATATATGTTTATTTTTTATTTATTTATTTTAGTAAAGAAATATCTAAAGAACAGGCAACACATAAGATGATTTTATCATATTACTATGTTTTAACCTTAGTTACTACAACTGGTATTGGTGATATTTCATCTACATCAAACTTGGAAGTGATTTTTACATTAATAGTCATATTAGGTGGAAAAATTGTCATTTCAGTGATTATTGGTGAGTCCTCGAGGGAAGTTGTCTCCAGAAAATTTCTAAGTTCCAAAAAAAAATTAAAGTAAATTTTAAAACTTGTATCAATTACTTATGGTTAATAAGCTTAAGTGACAATTAAATATTCAATTTCTTATGTACCAAGGCTGTACAGTAGATCTTTTTTGGCCTAATCAGAAACTTTCAGCCGAGGCCTAACAATTTCTGTCGGCCGAGGTGCATACAACATTTTTTAGACGACTGCCTCATCAAGTAGGTCCAATATTTTTGTATGTTTTTGTTCTTAAAAATATACTTAAATACAAGAATAGTTTCAAATTTGTAATAATAATTCTTAAAAAAAACATCCAAAAAACTTAATACTTAGGGATGTTCTTAAATCATTTTGACAGTCGCCTAAAAACTAAAAGCATGGTTTCAAATGTCCTTCATATCTTTTCGTTCTTTAGAATTAATAATTTTTATTTCCTTTATTATCACATGTTTTTGCACATTTTCCATCAGTTTTCCATAAACACAATTTATATTTGAGTTCCCTTTTCTGGCTAGGTTCACAAATTTGTACCTTCTTCCCTCCTGGAAAAAATATTTCGACTTATATACAAGTTTATTTGTTTATTTATTTTTTCTACACCCACATGGATATTAGCTCACCTACCCACAGAACAAAACGAAAAAGTATGCTATTGCGTTCAACTGAACTCATATATTTCATATCCTTTCATATTCATTCTAGGTAGTGAGAGTACTGCAAAAAAATGAAATCCACCAATCGCAGTTCATATTTTAATCACCCAACTATTATTAAAATTTTAAATATGTGACAATTGTCAGTATATTTTTAGTTATTGAGATTAAATATAAATTAAATTCAATTATTCTTGTGTAGAATCGATAAATAAAAGCATTGTTATTTTTATTTGGTCTATAATAATTATAAATAATTCATTTATTTTAATAAAACTTTATGAAGTTAATTTAATTACGAGTTTTAAAATGTTAAACGTCTCGGTGGTGGTGAGGTCAGAGTACTTGTCTTTCATGCGAACTGTCCGAGTTCAAATCTAGGATGGCAACAAATTATATTATATTTTTTTTTTATTATTAAAAATCATAAATTATTTTTAAATTAATTATTTTATCTTACTCTAAAATAATTTTTAATATTTGTAGATTTTCGTTAGTGGGTCGTAGAAGAAATATACTATACAACTTGAGTGAATTGTCCATATCCACTCTTTTTGCACAAACTACTATTACCGCACCATCACTACATGACTTCATTTTATTTACAATATTTTTAGGAACTGTTCTAAAAGCCTTCTATATTTGTGAAAAGCGCCATCTTAAATTTCATTCGCAAGCTAAGTTGTTGAAGAAATACCTTAAGGATAAAAACATTTCAGGTAACAGACAAAATGTCTTATTTTATTTGATTTATAAGTTAACAGGTGTTAAATATATTTTCTTATGGATTTTATGATTTTAGATTATCTCCTAGGTAGAACATCACTGTATTTGGAAAATCTATGGATATATCAAGAAGCAACACTAGATCCTAGTATTTTACATAGTTTATCCTACCCATTATATCAAGATCTGATGTCAACTCTATACGGAAATCAATTGGGAGAAACCTTCTTATTCAAGGTTATTAAATACTTAATATTTCTTTAAATTGTTTATTTCAACTAAAAAAAATTGTTTTATATAACCTTATATTATTGTCCTTCCTAGTCGTTTCGTCCTTTATATTTTATTATCCTTATTTCATTTGTTTGAACGTAATTTTACACATTTAAGTTTTCCATATACGCAATTTTTATTTATGTTCCCATTTATTTTAATTTGATCTATCAATTGCAAATATAACAAGGAAACACTTGATAATATGCTTTCTACAAAACAATAACGAAAAGATAGAAATAAACAATATAATAGCCTCATCTTAATTGGAAAATTTGTTTTATCTACCCTTATATTTTGTGATGAAGTATTTTTTTACATAATTAATTTTTTGTTCTCAATTTCAAATGTCCTTTATAGTCGTTTTGTCATCAAGGTTTTGTTATCCTTTTTTCTTTATTACGTATTTTTGCACATTCTCCATAAGTTTCCTTAAACGCAATTTATATTTGGGGCATCATATATTTTATTTTGCATTTTAATTTGATCTAAAAATTGCAATTATGCTTCACATCCTTGTTAGAGGAAATAAAGATAACCATGTAGTATACTTATGTTACGCCGCTGACCCACATGTTCAGATTTCAAATTTTACGTCACTCTCTATCGCTGCCTGCCTACATTAATCATTACCAATTGTTGTGTCGCCTGATTCACATCGTTAAACCGACCACATTCAAGCGATTATAAAAAGCAAATCGTATTAGAAAGATGATAAATTGAAAAATAAATGAAGGCATTTAGATCACAGGTAGGAAAATAATATTTTTCTTTTTATTTAACTGATTTTTAGCTTCCAGAAGATACTACTTTATGAGCAAATTTCTGCATTTAGACGACAAATAAATATACAGAAGATACTACTTTATGTGTTAACGGTGCAGTCTGCAAAACGAAAAATGCTACTTAATGTACAAATTTCGCAAAACTTTGATGAGGGAAGATACTACTTTATGTGTAAATTCTGCATTATAGACAAAGACATGTACAGAGGAAGCTACTTTATGTGTTGACTCTGATCTTATACAAGTATAGGTTCTCTTCATAATTTAATTGATTTTTAGCTTGCAGAAGATACTGCTTTACTGTAAATTTCCGTATTTAGACGACATATAAATATGCAGAAGATACATCATTCATATAAGCCGTATGCAGAGCGAAAAATGCGACTTTATGTGCAAATTTCGCAAAACTTTTGTGGCGGAAGATACTACTTTATGTGTAAATTCTGCAAATAACAAATAACTATACAGAGGAGGCTACTTTATGTGTTAACTCTGATCTATTACTTACATTATACAAGCCCAGCTAAATGCAACGTGAAAAATGCTACTAATGTGTAAATTTTTTAAAACTTTGGTCGATAAGATACTATTTTATGTGTAAATTATTTAATCCAAATAAATGTACAGAGAAGGCTACTTTATGTGTTAACTCTGATCTTATACTTATAAACTACAAACTCGGCTAACTGCAACTCGAAAAATACTATTTAATGTGAAATTTTGTAAAACTTTCGAGAAGATACTATTTTATGTGTAAATTCTGCATTTAAGCCAAATAAATGTACAGAAAAGGCTACTTTATGTATTAACTCTGATCTTATACTCATAAACTGCAAACTCGGCTAACTGTAACTCGAAAAATGCTACTTAATGTGTAAATTTAGTAAAACTTTGATCGAAAAGATACTATTTTATGTGTAACTTATTTAAGCCTAATAAATGTACAGAGAAGGCTACTTTATGTGTTTACTATGATCTTATACTTATAAACTCTGCAAACTCGGCTAACTGCACCGCGGAAAATGCTACTTAAGGTGTAAATTTTAATGTGTAAATTCTGCATATTATTGCAAAATAAATGTACAGAGAAGGCTACTTTATGTATTAACTCTGATCTTATACTTAGCTCAGCTAACCGCACCGCGAATAATTCTACTTAATGTGGAAATTTCGCAAAACTTTGGTCACAAAAGATAATATTTCATATGAAAATTCTGCATTATAAACAAATAAATGTACAAAGGAGGCTGCTTTATGTGTTAAATCTGATCTTATACTTATAAGATGCTAGCCCGGCTAAACCGCAATACGAAAAATGCTACACTTAAAGTGTAAACTTCAAAAAACTTTGGAAGTAGAATGTAGGTACTATGCAAATAAATGTCTGGTAACTCTGGTCTTATGCTTATAAAACGCAAGGACGCAAAAATGCTACGCAAAGCTCATTGATTATATTACTATATGGGTAAATACTGCACCTTAAAAAAATGCTTCTTTATGTGCACATTAATTAGCCATTGATTAAATATAGATTCAGAATCAGAATCTAAGATGTATATACATTAAATTCGTCATCTTCACCAGAACAGACGTTCGAATAGTAAGGATCAAATTCAGTATCAGGATATTCTGGGAGCGGATCTCTCTCGGAAAACCAATCAACGAAGAAATGGTAAAAAGTTGGGAAAATATTTGCAAGACGGTTTGGAGAATGGCAAAATATCAACGCTTCTTTGCGAAATCAACATCTGGATAAATTTTACTTGGGTCCCTCACCTTAAACTCCGAAACAAAAAGTTTAGTGACTAGTCACGTCATCACATAAAACCGACAGCTATTTATATATGATGCAAGACCAACTTGAAAGGTGATGGGAAGTTTAGCTGAACCTCTGTAAGCTAGGCTTGGAGGGAACAGAAATAGACGCATCAAAACAAATGCAAATGTAACAAAAGTATTATCAGACATCTACCATAGAACATATGCATCGTAGGCACCTTATATATCCGTCTTTAAATACAAATGTGAAAATATGATAGAAAAAGCAAATATCGATGGTTTTTCATTTTGGAAAGAATCTTGTAGAGATATGGAAGTCAGACAAAGCATTTTAAAATTCTAGCATACATTTAATTTATTTAAAGTCACCAACTAAAAGCAAACACAAATTTCAATCAGTCTTTAAACTTCAGGCGCCTACTTTTAAACAGCGATTGAAGAAAACCAGGCCAGAGAAAGAGCAGGAGAAATAAAAAAAACCCAAAGGACGAACCAACAAGTATTCAGAAAAACAGAGAGGGGAGAAGGAATTATTAGGGAAGGAAATAAAGGCAAGATAGATTGCTGGGAGACTGAATAAATTTGTAAAACATGTGGGTTAACTTAACTAATGATAAGAAGGTCCTAAGATATGTTAAAGGTTTTAAATTAATCTTTAAAACACAGAAGAGCTTTCACCAAAGGATGTTTTCTCTTAGAGAAAAAACTATATTACATACTTAATTTAAAAACAAAGTACTAAAGAATGCAACAGGTGTTTGCTAGCTAAAGAAAATTAGTTTGGTTCTCATATTTTTTAAGACCCAAATGAAATGATTCATCTAGATTCATCTTTAACAAATATATAGATTCTCGCATTTCAAACTGGAAGATCTCAGGTCTGCCCAGAATATTTTGTTACAGGACAATTTTGTCAAAAATTAAATTAAAGGATGCCTCTTATCTCATCTCAATACATAAAAAATAAGGAAAGTATTTGAAAAGAAAAAGAAAATAACTTACGAGTGTCTTACATTTGGTTTGACTATTTGCTCCATATGTTTTTGCAAACACTTTAAAACCGGTAGTGCATCAACTAAGGCTTTTGGAAATAACCTTAGATTTCCTAATTACATCTAAATCTAGTGATGAATGTCTCAAAAATTGTAATACAACGGTTGATTCCTTACAATCTCTATAACTCATCATAAAAAAGTGTTTTTTATCTAAAGTGTGCGAGAACTCGATTGTTACGTAGCTGATGCATTTCTTGTATAAGTACCAAACTTAGAAAGACCAAGCAGAAGGAACAGTGGCTGTACCAAAATGGGAAACTCAACCATCCCATGTTACAAAAAAATGCTTTTTACGGTACATGTCAACATTAAACCTAGTTATTCACTGCAGCAAACCTTCATTTAGAACTCCTTATAACCAGAGTTCTGCCCTAGCTCTCATTATAAATAGTCCCTAACTTTCATTATAGAAATCCTGAATAATAAAAGAAAATGTATATGAGGAAATTTCTAAAAGGGTCATCCTATTTTGCCAAAATGTATTCAAACTTGAGATCAAAACACAGTTTTAAAATACTTCAGTAGTTTCTTTCACTTGAAAAACTTAAAACAGCTAAGAGTCAAACTTGTTATGCTGGCAGCTCAACGGGTATAGACTTTCTCAAAAATTAAAGTTGAAAATGTCAATATACAAATTTTCATTGACGAAATGCTAAAACTTCGACTCCACAACGAGTCCAGCCTTTATTAGTATTTCCATTCCCCCACGAATAACCTCAATTTATGCTCGGCAAAAACAATTTTTATTTTATGGGGAAAAAGAAAAGAAATTAAAAAAATGTCTCACAGGTCTTCAGGACCTTTTATTCTAACCACTAATGCTCCAGTCCATCCAGCATCTCCCCAAACTATTGGGTGGGTAGCCCAAGCACTTAGTACACATATTCGTACGTATGTATGTACCTCGACCGTCCTCATAATCTGCGTCAATATCGAAACCATTAGAAAAATTGTAGAATAAAGAGATCAATAGTGTTTAACAAGTTTTACAATTAAGACGTAAAACCAACGTTCGCAAAAGTATTAAAAAATCATAAAACTAGATTGTTAAAATTCAATATTATTTTTTGTTACGTTGGTTAATGATTAATTCATTAGTATTATTATTAATTATTATTGTTAATTTTGTGGGAAATTTATATTAATATTTTTTTGCGTATTCTATTGTATACATTTACATAGAAAGCAAACATCTAGTTTTATTTTGAATAGAAAACATCCTCTAAACAACTACATGGTTATTTTTATTTCCACTAACAAAGATGTAAAGCATAATTAATGGATCAAACGACTTACCTGAAGAAAGTTCGATCCTAATTATGCGAACATCCTTGTTAGTGGAAATAAAGTCCCACCTCCACCATATTTATATTATTTTTAACTTCAAACTCCTAGGCTCCACAACAAGTAATGATTAATGTAGGCAGGCAGCAATAGAGAGTGACGTAAAATTTTAAATCTGAACATGTGGGTTAGCGGTGTAACATAGGTATACTACATAGTTATCTTTATTTCCACTAACAAGGATGCTCGCATAATTAGGATTGAACTTCCTTCAGGTAAGTCGTTTGATCCATTAAATATAATAAGTAAATACTACGCTTTTTAGAATACAATAGAGATAGACAACATGGACAGTATAACCCAATAATTTTTAGAAATTGTTATCCATGGAAATGATATTGTTGAGAGAAAAAAGCTATAAAAATGTGGCAAACAAGAATATATTATATATTAGAGTAAAGTTATTTGTATTCCACTGACAGTTCACTTTTACAATATTCTGTCATTGAATTTGATACGTTTTTTTTTAATATACTTTGCAGTTTGAAAAAAGTAGTTTTATGGTATGCACTCAAATTATTTTTAATGTTTACATGAATAAAATTTTGAAAATAATATAAATAAAATCAATGAAGACATACAACCTCTATTTTTGGCCCTGTCATTGTATAAAGACGGTTTTCCACTAAACGGACAGTTGAGTTTATGTTTCGTTTGTGTTTTATGGAACTTAAAAAAAAAACAAAACTGAGATATTCCCAAAACTCTTGTTTATATTAAGCGGACTATATTTTGTTACAGTTTTGTTTTTGTTTTCGGTTGTTTTGCGAGGAAGTCAGAACACGTTTCTTTTAAATATTTTATTTATATTTATATATACATACCTATTTATATTTTAAGATAGTTCCAAATTGAAAATACATATAAAAGTAGTTTAAAATATGTATGTAACATCATAAAAACCTAAAAATGTCAATATTTGGACTTAACCTAGTCTGTCTTTGACACTCAGATATATATTCTAATAAATATACTTATATAAATTTATCGAGCGTTTCAAAATAAATTGCTTATTACTATTTATTTATCTATAAAAAAATACGTTATTTACTTACCTATAGGTACCAATTTGGTATAAAATTTAGACTACACAACACGATCGTTTCCAGTAAACAGACTCGAGTTTCAAAACACGTCAAAACCTTTTGATGTTACCGCTTCCGAGCGGAACTCAAGAAACAAAACTCAAACTGTCTCAAAACACGCCAGTCTTCAAAAAGTTTGCGAAAAGTTGCAGTTTTGTTTTTCTCGACACGAGTTTGTTTTCTTTTGTCCGTTTAGAGGAAAACCGCCATTACTATTTGGTTTTGATCATAAAACTTTTGTTTAATAAATCAAATAACAAAACTGTGTGGCTAGCTCAGAAGAGACTATTTATTTATAAGACGAAGGGTGACATAAGTTCTTAGAGGAAATATCAAATATCAAGTACCTACTATCTTCTTTAATATATAGTATAATCGGAACCCCAATATTGCTTTTCACAATAGTACAGTTATTATGATTATAGTAATTAACCATTTTTATTTAAATATTCAGAGATTCATTTATACCTTCGTCGACTTAAACCTGTAACAATTATTTTCAGTAGAACACAAAATTACGTCATTACTAATATACCGTCAAAGATTGACGTTTCTGTTATAAATCAAATAGTAGCTAGAGTGTTAAAAATTAATTTATATCTCTGTTTTTCTTTGGATATAATACAATGCAAAGAATAGTTGTTTTACGGAGGGAAACAGTCGCTAATAACAGTTTGTGCCACATGTCTTTAAGATTTAATTGTTTTTCAATATTCTACATGAGTTACATAAGATGATCCAGAAGAAAAACAAGATAAGAAATGACCGAAAATTATGATTGTAATAGATTTTAAAATAAAAAATAACAGAAGAAGAAATATTGCATTACATTTTCGCTTTCTAACCATATTTTTTCGGTTTTACTTTTATGTTATGTTATATTATGTTATGTTGAGAATGGGGTGTTAATACACTGCGACCTAAAAGATCTATTCTGTCCCCTTCTGTCGCCACTGCACTAAGGAAATGTCTCAATGCCTATAGCGACCCTTCCAATCCTATTTTCTCAAGGAAGTGTAGGATTTGAAGTGGTTTCAAGTTAGGTAAATCTCCCTCTTCTATTTGATATCCTCCTAGATATAGTGCCCTTGGATTCTGGAGTGCTACACATTCAGTTAGGATGTAAATAGAGGTTTCGTCCTCCTCCTCACAGAATCTGAACTCACTATCCTCTACTACTCTCAGTTTCCTTAGGTGTCCTTTTAGTCGGCAATGCCCGGTAAGGTAAAAAATGATATACTGTTTTTTAGGGAATTGATTCAAGTTTGCTTCACCAAATCTGCACAAAAATAAAACGTACCGTCTACTTCAAAGATGACTACATAGTAAAATCGGGCGATGTCAGTACAACAATGTACTTTATCAACACCGGCAAAGTATTGGTTTTAACGAAGCACCCTCAGCTCACTGAAACCAAACACATCGTACTTGAACCCATGGATCTGTTCGGAGTGTGCCAAGGGCTAAACCTCGAGGAATGCCACAACTTTTACTACAGATCAGCGACTGCTATGGTTGAAATTCTGTCTTTGAAATATGAAGATTGGTTCTACTTGCTAGACTTCTTTCCGCGAGACAAGCTACAGATGTTTGTTAGGGTAAACAAGGAATATAAAAAAATAAAAGATGAAAATTAA